TGACGACATCATCAGTGGCGTAGTGACTACATCATCAGTGGCGTAGTAACTACATTATCAGTGGTGTAGTAACTACATTATCAGTGGTGTAGTAACTACATTATCAGTGGCGTAGTAACTACATTATCAGTGGCGTAGTGACGACATTATCAGTGGTGTAGTAACTACATTATCAGTGGTGTAGTAACTACATTATCAGTGGTGTAGTAACTACATTATCAGCTCGGGGGGTGCAGCAATCGGTCAGGTGGGGTCCCCAATATTTTATTTGTCTTGCATGGTCTCCCCTAGAGGCTGTAGTATCGCCGACTCCTCTTGCCTATTCAATTCACTGTCCTTGAAGTTGATTGGTCCACACCCGAGACAGCTTTCCTTAGAGCCTAGTCATTACCATTATCAGAGTTGTTTCTTTTTGTTTGCATTTTGACTACTTGTGTTGTGGTTATTGCAAACATGATGCCTTGCATAAAGGTGTCAGTTTTGTACCAGTTTAAAGGGTAAAAACCTACTACTATATTTTGCCACTGGTAAAGGAGGTCTCATAGTGGAAAACTTATTCTCAATTATTGCTCTTGTTCTTTGACACTTTTACCGAAAACAAATCTCACGGTGGTTTTCAAGAGGGCCCAAACTCGTAGCTTTGGCCACCAAGTAGGCGGGAGGGGCAAGGCCACCCCGCCCCCCTCCTGCCCCCCACGCAAGACACGCTTACTGGCATCCCGTGAATCTCCGGCAACCAAGTGACCCGGCGAGAGCGACCGATAACTGTCCGTGCGACGTTGCCGGCAACTACGCCGTTGCACAAAACTGTGAGCCGCGGTCAGAAGGCTCGCGACGTCCGTCCGTTTCGATCGGTTAGTTCATTGCATCCTGCAAGCGTCGCAGCTGCGGTTGAGCGGAGCCGTAATATTCGCCACACTCAGCTCGCAACTTGGCAATCTTTATTTCGATTTCCGGCCACGGCCAAATATCAGCAGCAGCGACGAATGATTCATGAATTGATTCCGGGTCTCCCCCCCCGCCACCACCACAACTCGCCCCGGCCCCCCACCCCATTGCCAAACCGCGCTGACCGGCATGGTGAAGTATGGTTAAACAATTCCCATGATCAACACAATATGGGGAGGTTTCTGGGTAGACTGAGCAGCAAGGGAGTGCTCACGCGCGCACCGTCCTGTGAGCCCACAGACGTCTATCTGTACGTATGAGTGTGCGTGTTGTGTTCGGTCGGACAGAGGGGGCTAAACGGGTGCGGCACGGGCTCGAGAAGAGATGGAGTGATGTGGTACAGGAGGGCGTGGAGCTGAGTGGACTTGCCGATGGCTGGTACCAGCGGTGTCAAAATCGGCCTCTGTGGAGGAAGCTTGTGGAAGGACGCGACTGGGCAGTTGGAGGCAGTCGCCTCTGATCTCTCGTCTCTGATTTCTCATCTCTGATCTCTCGTCTCTGATCTGTCGCCTCTGATCTCTCGCCTCTGATCTCTCATCTCTGATTTCTCGTCTCTGATCTCTCGCCTCTGATCTCTCATCTCTGATTTATCGTCTCTGATTTCTCGTCTCTGATCTCTCATCTCTGATTTCTCGTCTCTGATCTCTCATCTCTGATCTGTCATCTCTGATTTCTCGCCTCTGATCTCTCGCCTCCGCGCCGGCTCTCAACTCAGGTTTCCATTGAATTCACGATTATTTTGCCCGTCCTCGGACGGAAGCTGTAATAGTTATGAATTTTTTTAGCAGAGTTTTATTGTATCTTGTGTAAATGTAATGGCAGTGAATCTTGCACGAAAGTACGTCATCAAACACTTCACTGCAGTTCGCTGTAGCACTGTATTAATGGCAGTGAATCTGCCACAAAACGAAGTCTTAACCACTTCACTGCAGTTCGCTGTATCAATATATATAAGTGACCTTCAATTTGCTAAAATTCACTGCTCTGATACTTTATTTTCTTCTGCTTTCGGTCGCTGGGGTTGAAATTAATTGGAAACCGATACAATATCTGGAAAGTCACCGAGAAATGTCTATTTTACCATAATGTCGAAGCATAAATGAGACTTATCTTTCGTCTCAAGTGGTGAAGAAAACAAAAAAGACACCAACTCCACTTTGTTGCTGCGTAGAATGATTTATTAGATTAACTTTCCATTTAAAAAAACGTCAAACTTGAAGCGAATTTGCGAAGCAAAATATTTCAGCTCGACCTTCTTCTGCGTGAGTGTAAAAATCCACCCGCTCATGAATATTAATGACGTGGGGATTCGGCATGTGGACTGACGTCACGCGCTCATGAATATTAATGACGGGGGGTGCGGCATGTGGAGTGACGTCACGCGCGTTACACACAGACAGACATTATTGGCTCATTACAATAGTAATTTGTTTTGGCTGTAACGTTTGAATCCGAACGGCCAATACTTTTATTGCAGTCAACAATGAAAGTGTCAATCGCAAGGACTTCAAACCTAACGCTCAACTTAACATTTCCTCGTATGATAACCTATCGGTTTGTAAAAAAAAGAAAAATTTCAACAGCCGAGACATTTGTTTTGTGCGTCAGTTGCTGCGAATATGAATTTTTTTTATCGATGACAGCCTCCCCCCCCCCACCATGCCTCGCACTTAGAAAATGCGCACTCAAGCTCCCAGCGCCTATCGTTATCTCCCCGACTCGACCGCTGCGCACGAAGATAAACAACGGGGATTGGCACGTCGCCCTGTTCCGTTGCACACACGCGCGCACGCACACAAAGCCAAAGATGCCCCCTATAGCCTCGAACAGACTGCTGGGGCAAGTGCTGTGAGTGAGTAAGCCAGCGCCTCGCCCGGGCCCGCCTTTGTCTCCCCAGTGGCGATGTTTTCTACACACCGCACCGGGTACTCATTTGAGGCTGAGTCGACCGAGGGGAGGCCCAGGACCGGTTCAGATAATCGCCACTTGGCCGTTGGCCGTGAGCGGGAATCAGAACTCGGGTGGCCGGGTTCGTAGCGCAGCGTAGCCGTCCATAAATGACGTCACGCGATTTTGGACGATTTTTGACCCCCCCCCCCTCGTCACAAAAAGTCAGACCCCCCCTAAAATATGACGTCACAAAGCTCTGCCCCCCCCATAATAAAACATGCTTCAAATCGCTTTAAACTATTGTCATTGTAGTGCGTATTTAATGTGGCGCTGCACTCTGATGTTGTAGGAGAAAACATTTATTAAAAAGTCTATTTAATTAAGTAGAACGTGTTGTCTATATTTATTTAAAGTTGCGCATTTTGATGTGACGTCACATTTCTCAAACCCCCCCCCCCCACCCTGGTCACACATCGTCACAAATGTCTGACCCCCCACCCTCCCCTAGGTGCGTGACGTCATTTATGGACGGCCCCTAACCGCTGCACCACCGCTCCCCACACACTCGCGCACGTGCGTGACCACGTGGTTGCGTGCCGAGTCTGCGCTCGACTGCGTGTGTCTGTGTCCGTGGTCACCGCGCGTGCAATGCGATTCGAGTTTCTTTCTGTATCTCCATTCAGACGCTGTCTTTCCGACAGACCTGTTCTTCACCTGAGGACGGCTGGTTGCGTTGTGGCCGAAACGTCGTGAGAATTATTTTATTATGTTTTATTTTTATTATTTTATTATTTCCCTTCTACGTGACTTTACCAAAAGAACCAAGAAGATGACTCTCTCTCTCTCATTGTTTAGCACCTTTCTAATTTCACGTTGAGTTTGAGTTGTCATCTTGTAGTGATGATGACGATGACGACGCTTTGAGTGGCAGATTTGTGCTATAAAGGCGCCACGAGTGTAAACAAAGATAACATTGACTCGACCGAGGGACGCTACGGTGGCTATGAGATGTTAACTACCTCGCCTGGTACACAGGAGGTTGTGGGTTCGATCCCGACCCTAACACCTGCTGTATATTTGGAGTTTGCGTCTCTCTCTCATCATCATCACGGTGACTAGGAGATGTTAACTACCTCGCCTGGTATGCAGGAGGCCGTGGGTTCGATCCTGACCCTGACGCCTGCTGTATAGTTTCCATGTCTCTGTCCCCGTGGTCGCGTGGATTTTTCTCCGGATCCTCCGGTTTTTTTCCTCCACATTTAGAATCAACATCAATCGTGCGTTGAGAGTATTTGGCTGCTGTACATTTCTACACGATAAGCCACTTCGTTGAGCTATCATTTGGGGCCAGGTCGCTTCCGAAAAAGAGCTGTACAGCTCAGTGGAACCTTAACTGGTAAAATAAAATAAACCATTGCTCAGTTTACAGTTCTTACAAACTGAATCGCCAGTGCATCGAGACACCTTGACACCTGAGGCAAAAGCGCAGCCGTGCAAGTGCTGCCTGCTGGCGGAAGGCCTCTCTCTAGAGGCTAGATCTCTGGAGCGAGTATCAAAGACAGCCCTCTTGGGAGGGTATTTTTTGGCCTACTCTTTTCCGCACACGCCAGGCGCCTCGGTAGAGGTGCCGGTGGCCGCAACGTTGCATCCCTCAACGCACCGACCGTGACAATGCCGACGCCGCTGGGCAGACAGAGGCGTTCGTCTCAACTGCCGTGCCAGGAGATCAAAGTGGCCACCACTCGCTGGCTTGTCCGGATCCGGTCACCGTCCCACCACGGCACCATCTCAATGATGCGCTAAGCGTAGCGAAACTAATAAACGATGGTGACCCCGATGATGATGATGATGAACTAAAATTTCAACTTGTTATACATTTTTTTGCAGAGTGAACCCGGCTCTTGTGTGTTGTTGTTAATAAAAAAAATACATTTTTGTTGTTATCAGGAGCAGAATGTGGCACGGATACCATCAAAGTGGCGGAAGGAGGCAACGCAGAATGCAACTGCATGGGAATCAACGTCACGCGCTTGACATGGATTCCAGACAATGCTGAGTGTGACGAGAATAGAGATTCAGAGGATAATTCGCGGTGGAACCTGCAATTCGATGGGGGAGAATGCAGGCTGCTCATCAAAAACGTGATAATGAGAGACAGGGGCATGATTTTACTGGAACCGGAGGGACGCCAAGTGAAGCTGTTCATCGAGCCGGGTGAGTGCTTGCTAAATGTTGAACATCTAATGACATGAACTACCTGGCCTGGTCTACAGGAGGTCGTGGGTTCAATCTCGACCCTGACGCCTGCTGCTGTGTATTTGGAGTGTGCGGTGTCTCTCTCTCTCATCATCGTTACCACGGTGGCTAGGAGATGTTAACTACCTCACCTGGTCTACAGGAGGTCGTGGGTTCGATCTCGACCCTGACGCCTGCTGCTGTATATTTGGAGTGTGCGGTGTCTCTCTCTCTCATCATCGTTACCACGGTGGCTAGGAGATGTTAACTACCTCACCTGGTCTACAGGAGGTCGTGGGTTCGATCTCGACCCTGACGCCTGCTGCTGTATATTTGGAGTTTGCGTGTCTCCCTCACCGTGGTCGCGTGGATTTTTCTCTGGGTCCGCCGATTTTCCCCTCCACATTTGAAAAAAATGCGTTTAGAGTATTGAGAGAGAGACAGAGTGATGAGATAAAGTGATAAGAGAAAAAGTCATGAGAGATAATGTGATGAGAGAGATTGTGAGAAAGTGATGAGATTATTCAGATAATTATCAAGTTTTCAATAGCTTATTTACGTAATTATTTAAGATAATTAATTTAAAAAAAGTTTTCCTTTAGCCAATATCATTACCCCGCGAAATTTTCCTTTCACGAGCATCTCCGAAACGTGTCCCCCCACGATTAACGAGGCAACGCGTGCGGTGCACAATCGCGCAGCCGAGCAAAGCGTCCTTTGTTCCCCCCCCCCCCGCCCAAAGTGTGCACAGCGCTCCACATACAGAGTGCGACAGACAACACGACGGACGAAGTACGCCTGACGTGCCGCAGCGGCGGAAAAGTGGCGCCGGAGGAAGGGATTGAGTGGACGTATCAGGGACAGAGACAGGCTTCCGAGGGCAGCACCGTGGTGACGAGTCTGCAGCGCCAAGGATTGTGGAGCTGCACGTACGAAGGGAAGACCACGGGGTTCTGCCTCGTCGAATCCAGTAAGTGGAATTTGGCCGGCTACCGTGGCCAGCCACCTACCGTGGTCGGTCGGCTACCGTGGTCCAATGCGCTACCGTGGTCAGCCACCTACCGTGGTCGGTCGGCTACCGTGGTCCAATGCGTTACCGTGGTCAGCCACCTACCGTGGTCGGTCGGCTACCGTGGTCCAATGCGCTACCGTGGTCAGCCACCTACCGTGGTCGGTCGGCTACCGTGGTACAATGCGCTACCGTGGTCAGCCACCTACCGTGGTCGGTCGGCTACCATGGTCCAATGCGCTACCGTGGTCAGCCACCTACCATGGTCGGTCGGCTACCGTGGTCCAATGCGCTACCGTGGTCAGCCACCTACCGTGGTCGGTCGGCTACCGTGGTACAATGCGCTACCGTGGTCAGCCACCTACCGTGGTCGGTCGGCTACCATGGTCCAATGCGCTACCGTGGTCAGCCACCTACCGTGGTCGGTCGGCTACCGTAGTACAATGCGCTACCGTGGTCAGCCACCTACCGTGGACGGCCGGCTACCGTGGTACAATGCGCTACCGTGGCCAGCCACCTACCGTGGTCGGTCGGCTACCGTGGTCCAATGCGCTACCGTGGTCAGCCACCTACCGTGGACGGCCGGCTACCGTGGTACAATGCGCTACCGTGGCCAGCCACCTACCGTGGTCGGTCGGCTACCGTGGTCCAATGCGCTACCGTGGTCAGCCACCTACCGTGGTCGGTCGGCTACCGTGGTCGGTCGGCTACCGTGGTCCAATGCGCTACCGTGGTCGGACAGCTGGACTTGCAACACAGAGGCAGCAGGTTCCACTCCCGTCTTCCGGCGCGGAGGCTTGGAACAGCGGTGCGATGCGTGGGTAACTCCTCCCAACGCTGTCCCGACGTCCGGCCAGCGCGCAGAAGAGTAGGCCGAATGCCCTCAGAGAGGCGATCGAGTGGAGGCCCTCCAGGGTCAGGACATGGAGAGACGTCACTCACCGCTGTGGCCGGCACTCCCCACGGCCTCCTTGGCACGGTGCAACCACAGCGCCACCACCCCGTGCCAAACTTCGCATTCGACGATCGCGGCGGAAATTGGCCGCGCCCTCGGCAAGCTGCGATGGGCAGGGCGGTCTTGAAGTATTGACGTGGGTGGTTTTTTTAATATTACCGAATTCGAAAAGAAGAGCGGGCTCTTCACCGTTACTTCGGTCGCCGAACCCCTGCGCTAAACCAAAAACGAAAGAAGCCAACGAACAGAACGGAGCAATGAACCAACTTGTCCATTCGGTCGTAACCCGCAGGGATCTCCGAGATCAAGGAAGCGGAGTGCGAGAGCAAGGAGCTGACCCCGCTGACGCCCCAGGCCACCCAAGCGAGCGACCACCTATCGCCGCCCATCATCGAGATCGCCCTCGCCGCCGCGGGGTGCATTCTGGTGGTCGTCGCGGTGCTGGCCGGCGTTTATTTCTACAGAGAGAGTGAGTGGTGATGGCCGCCGTGTATTTCTACAGACAGAGTGAGTGGTGATGGCCGCCGTGTATTTCTACAGACAGAGTGAGTGGTGATGGCTGCCGTGTATTTCTACAGAGAGAGTGAGTGGCGATGTCCGCCGTGTATTTCTACAGACAGAGTGAGTGGTGATGGCCGCCGTGTATTTCTACAGAGAGAGTGAGTGGCGATGGCCGCCGTGTATTTCTACAGAGAGAGTGAGTGGTGATGGCCGCCGTGTATTTCTACAGACAGAGTGAGTGGTGATGGCCGCCGTGTATTTCTACAGAGTGAGTGGTGATGGCCGCCGTGTATTTCTACAGACAGAGTGAGTGGTGATGGCCGCCGTGTATTTCTACAGAGTGAGTGGTGATGGCCGCCGTGTATTTCTACAGACAGAGTGAGTGGTGATGGCTGCCGTGTGTTTCTACAGACAGAGTGAGTGGTGATGGCCGCCGTGTATTTCTACAGAGAGAGTGAGTGGTGATGGCCGCCGTGTATTTCTACAGAGAGAGTGAGTGGTGATGGCCGCCGTGTATTTCTACATACAGAGTGAGTGGTGATGGCCGCCGTGTATTTCTACAGAGAGAGTGAGTGGTGATGGCCGCCGTGTATTTCTACAGACAGAGTGAGTGGTGATGGCCGCCGTGTATTTCTACAGACAGAGTGAGTGGTGATGGCCGCCGTGTATTTCTACAGAGTGAGTGGCGATGGCCGCCGTGTATTTCTACAGGCAGAGGGAGTGGTGATGGCCGCTGTGTATTTCTACAGAGAGAGTGAGTGGTGATGACCGCCGTGTATTTCTACAGAGTGAGTGGTGATGGCCGCCGTGTGTTTCTACAGACAGAGTGAGTGGTGATGGCCGCCGTGTGTTTCTACAGACAGAGTGAGTGGTGATGGCCGCCGTGTATTTCTACAGACAGAGTGAGTGGTGATGGCCGCCGTGTATTTCTACAGACAGAGTGAGTGGTGATGGCTGCCGTGTATTTCTACAGACAGAGTGAGTGGTGATGACCGCCATGTATTTCTACAGAGAGAGTGAGTGGTGATGGCCGCCGTGTATTTCTACAGACAGAGTGAGTGGTGATGGCCGCCGTGTATTTCTACAGACAGAGTGAGTGGTGATGGCCGCCGTGTATTTCTACAGACAGAGTGAGTGGTGATGGCCGCCGTGTATTTCTACAGACAGAGTGAGTGGTGATGACCGCCGTGTATTTCTACAGACAGAGTGAGTGGTGATGGCCGCCGTGTATTTCTACAGACAGAGTGAGTGGTGATGGCTGCCGTGTATTTCTACAGACAGAGTGAGTGGTGATGGCCGCCGTGTATTTCTACAGACAGAGTGAGTGGTGATGGCCGCCGTGTATTTCTACAGACAGAGTGAGTGGCGCTGGCCGCCGTGTATTTCTACAGACAGAGTGAGTGGTGATGGCCGCCGTGTATTTCTACAGAGAGAGTGAGTGGCGATGGCCGCCGTGTATTTCTACAGACAGAGTGAGTGGTGATGGCCGCCGTGTATTTCTACAGACAGAGTGAGTGGTGATGGCCGCCGTGTATTTCTACAGACAGAGTGAGTGGTGATGGCCGCCGTGTATTTCTACAGACAGAGTGAGTGGTGATGGCCGCCATGTATTTCTACAGAGAGAGTGAGTGGTGATGGCCGCCGTGTGTTTCTACAGACAGAGTGAGTGGTGATGGCCGCCGTGTGTTTCTACAGAGAGAGTGAGTGGTGATGGCCGCCGTGTATTTATACAGAGAGAGTGAGTGGTGATGGCCGCCGTGTGTTTCTACAGACAGAGTGAGTGGCGATGGCCGCCGTGTATTTCTACAGACAGAGTGAGTGGCGATGGCCGCCGTGTATTTCTACAGACAGAGTGAGTGGTGATGGCCGCCGTGTATTTATACAGAGAGAGTGAGTGGTGATGGCCGCCGTGTGTTTCTACAGACAGAGTGAGTGGCGATGGCCGCCGTGTATTTCTACAGACAGAGTGAGTGGCGATGGCCGCCGTGTATTTCTACAGACAGAGTGAGTGGTGATGGCCGCCGTGTATTTCTACAGAGTGAGTGGTGATGGCCGCCGTGTATTTCTACAGAGTGAGTGGTGATGGCCGCCGTGTATTTCTACAGAGTGAGTGGTGATGGCCGCCGTGTATTTCTACAGACAGAGTGAGTGGTGATGGCCGCCGTGTATTTCTACAGAGTGAGTGGTGATGGCCGCCGTGTATTTCTACAGACAGAGTGAGTGGTGATGGCCACCGTGTATTTCTACAGAGTGAGTGGTGATGGCCGCCGTGTATTTCTACAGACAGAGTGAGTGTTGTTGGGATTTTTCGGTAAAGTCACGTAGGTAAAAAATAAAAAATAAAAAAATAAATAAAAATCACGACGTTTCGGAGGCAACACAAGCCTCCGTCTTTAGGTGGAACCGTCACAGCACGCTCGCTGTATCAAGTAAATGAGAAATTCCAAGAGATCCGACCCAGTATATATACTGGTTGAGGGGGGAGGAGCCAGGGCAGGCCACTGGATAGGAATTTACCTACGTGACTTTACCGAAAAAACCCAAGAATATGAATCCTTGCAGTCACGAAAGCTTCAAATCTAGACAGAGTGAGTGGTGATGTCCATCGGCAGGCAAACACCGACGGAACCCGACCTCTTCTCGATGGGGGTCGTAGCGGGGGGGGGGGGGGGGAATCGCCTAACCGTGCCGGCAGTGAGCACGGGCGGTCACCGTCGTCGGGTGCGATTCGGATGCCCAGGGTTGGTGAACCACGAAAAGAGTTGTGAAACTGCACATAACATGGTCGGGTGGAGGGGGGGGGGGGCTAAAGCGAGAAGACGGTGATGATGGTGGCACTGTAACAGTGGTTCTTCAAGGCCAGGTGTCGATGTTAGAACGGCTCTGGGATCTGGGTGCACTGTACGTGTGTACGTTGAATTTCTTTCACACCCTACGTAGCCGACCGCGCTAATGAGGGGTGCAGGGGAAGGACAACAAACCAGGGAGATGCTCTACAGCAATGGGTCAATATCGTTTGCCACCTTCTTCTGAAACTAATCGAGACTATTTTTATGTTTTACCATGTAGGGCCCACTGAGCGACACAGCTCTTTTTCAGAAGCGACCTGGCCACGAATTATAGCTCAACGAAGTGGCTTATCACGTGGACATTTAGCCGGATACGCTAAACAAATGTTTGATTCTAAATGCGGAGGGAAAAACCGGAGGACACGGAGAAAAATCCACCCAATCACGGGAGAGAGAAAGAGACACCGCAAACTCCAAATATACAGCAGGCGTCAGGGTCGGGATCGAACCGACGACCTCCTGTATATCTGGCAAGGTGGTTAACATCTCCAAGCCACCGTGATGATGATGATGAGAGAGAGATACCGCAAACTCCAAATACACAGCAACAGGCGTCAGGGTCGGGATCGAACCCACGACCTCCTGCATACCAGGCGAGGTAGTTAACATCTCCTAGCCACCGTGGTGGGCCTCGTGTGTCGGCGGTCCGCAGGAGATGGAAACCAACAGTGGGCGGCGTTCGGCCTGCACATCAGCAGGCTTCCCACTTCAGGCATCAGAGCGACATAGCAAGTGTGGCAGGCAACATAGCAAGTGTGGCAGGCAACATAGCAAGTGTGGCAGGCAACATAGCAAGTGTGGCAGGCAACATAGCAAGTGTGGCAGGCAACATAGCAAGTGTGGCAGGCAACATAGCAAGTGTGGCAGGCAACATAGCAAGTGTGGCAGGCAACATAGCAAGTGTGGCAGGCAACATAGCAAGTGTGGCAGGCAACATAGCAAGTGTGGCAGGCATCATAGCAAGTGTGGCAGGCAACATAGCAAGTGTGGCAGGCAACATAGCAAGTGTGGCAGGCAACATAGCAAGTGTGGCAGGCATCATAGCAAGTGTGGCAGGCATCATAGCAAGTGTGGCAGGCAACATAGCAAGTGTGGCAGGCAACATAGCAAGTGTGGCAGGCAACATAGCAAGTGTGGCAGGCAACATAGCAAGTGTGGCAGGCAACATAGCAAGTGTGGCAGGCAACATAGCAAGTGTGGCAGGCATCATAGCAAGTGTGGCAGGCATCATAGCAAGTGTGGCAGGCAACATAGCAAGTGTGGCAGGCAACATAACAAGTGTGGCAGGCGACATAGCAAGTGTGGCGAGCGTCAGCAGCGTTGACTTCCGGACCATTGTCATGAAATCCGCGTTAATAAAACAAAAACGTCGAATAATTTTGCTTCATTTTCTTTTACAGGCAAGAAGGCACTCATCTCACCTTACGTGTCAGAGTAAGTTCAAACAAACCACAGGGCCCGCACCACCACGGTTGGCCACACTATGTGCGCGCGTGTGTTGAACTTCGTTCGCACCGTACGTAGCCGACCGTGCTGATCGGAGGTGCGATCCTTTAGGCTGTTCGTCTGCATAGGCCGAGCATGAGCGATGACCATGAACTGAGAACAACGCGTGCCCATCACCTCTCTCGCGACAAGTAAAAAAATATATATCTATGGGACCTTTTCTGCCAGTATCAAAGTATGAAAAATAAGGTTATGCTTTAGCCTTTCTATCTTGATTTGAAGCTTTCGTGACTGCAGGAAGCCATACTCTTTGGTTCTTTCGGTAAAGTCACGTAGGTAGAAAATAAAATCAATCACGACGTTTCGGGCGCAACACAAGCGTCCATCATCAGGTGGGAAAGCATGGTCTGCTGCTGAGGCAGACTTCTTTTTAAAAAGGTTTGAAATGGGTGTAGTTCAAGGGTTACCCTTTTTGGCAACAAAACAGGTCCTAAGATCTTCTTGGTTCTTTCGGTAAAGTCACGTAGAATGGAAATAATAAAATAATAAAAATAAAACATAATAAAATAATTCTCACGACGCAAGCAGCCGTCCTCAGATGAAGAACAGGTCTGTCGAGACGACAGAGTCTGAATGACACACCCCAGACTCTGTCGTCTCGGGTACCCGATACCCTACCCGATACCCGGCTACCCGTACCCGGCCGGGTACGGGTAGACATTTGCGACCCTGGTGCGGCCGGGTACGGGTATGGGTAGGCCGTGAGTCACTGGTGAGTAACCGTTTGTCACTCATTTCGGGTAGGGTACGGGTAGGGTACGGGTACCCATTTGCGACCCTGGTGCGGCCGGGTATGGGTACGGGTAAGGAATCAAAACCCGTTTGCGACCTCTGCTGTACGTGTGTTGAACTTCTTTCGCACCATACGTAAGTGAAAACCTACTCGATGTGCTTTCTTTTTCAGACCTGCCGATAGCCTGAGACAGTCTCGAATGACCTGCCATCCCGACTACAGCTACAACAACGGTAATGAGAGCCGAAAACCTTCCCGACAGCAAAGTGCACAACTCCACGGGCCTTCTGTCAGCCGCTGCTGCTCATTCCGTCACTCAATACGGTTTGGTCTGCACGTGTTTCCCTCCCGCCCCATGAGTTCCTCTCACTGCCTCTGCGTAATTGCACGGCGTGCATCTCTCCACACCTTTGTGCGCTCTTCATCTTTTTGTTTCGGACGAGTGGGAAAACTAAACTATTTTTTTATCTTACCAGATAAGGACCACACTGAGCTATATACGGCTCTTTTTCAGAAGCGACCTGACCACAAATGATAGCCCAACGAAGTGGCTTATCACGTGGAAATGTATAGCCGCCAAATTCTCTGAACGCGTGATGTCGATTCTAAATGTGGAGGGGAAAACTTGAGGGTCCGGCGAAAAATCCACGCGACCACGGGAAGAGAGACACCGCAAACTACAAATACACAGCAGGCGTCAGGGTCGGGATTGAACCCACGACCTCCTGTATACCAGGCGAGGTAGTTAACATCTCCTTGCCACCATGATGATGATGATGAGAGAAAGACACCGCAAACTCCAAATATACAGCAGGCGTCAGGGTCGGGATTGAACCCATGACCTCCTGCATACCAGCAAGGTAGTTAACATCTAGCCACCATGGCGAGATGTAGCCAGAACTGGTTCCAATAATGAATCCAAGCTCTACGGTATTGGGATGCTTTGGCCATCTCCATCGACGAGCGTTTGTACATGTGAGAGGAAAGCCGTGCATGCGAAGGGGTGAGCACCGAATCCCCGCACAGATTCAAATGAATGGGGTGTCATTCGAGTAAGAGTGGAATGTAAGAGCCAATATTGAGTGTGCGGAATGCAAGAGTCAAAATTAGGTTGGAGCCAGGTGTTTAGTTTGTTGTCCTTACCCCCGCACCTCTAATTAGCAAGGTTGGCTACGTACTGTGCGAAAGAAGTTCAACATACACATGTCCATGACTCGTAGTGGAAAGTCCACTTTTCTATAATATTGGCTCTCACATTCGTTACATTCAATATCCAGATGTTAACTCCCTCGCCTGGTGTATAGGAGGTCGTGGGTTCGATCCCAACCCTGAGACGTCTGCTCTATATTTGGAGTTTGCGTGCTTTTCTCTCTTTCTCTCCTCGTGGTAGCGTGGATTTTTCTCCAGGCCCTCCGATTTTTTTTCACCCTCCGCAATGAGAATCAACGTCACGCGTCTCGGAGCATCTGGCTGCGATACATTTCCAAGCGATGGGAATCCCACTCCGTTGAGTTGCTGTCATTTTTGATGGCCACGTCGCTTCTGAAATAAAAAAGAGCAACGTATCTCAGTGGGGGGCCGGGGCCTTGCCCGGTAACGATACAAAATACAGTTGAGTTTCAGTTGAACACCGCTGCCACCAGATGCACTTCAGCGGCCTTCTGGAACACTCGCACAGAGACCCCGGGATTAGAAAGTTGTGTTCCGTGGCGGCTGTGACAGCGACCGAGCGCAGCGCAGAGCCGTTAACCTCTCGTTAACCTCTCGTTAACCTCTCGTTAACCTCTCGCCCCGCCACCCTCCCCAGCCACAGGGGACTGTGGCCACTCCGTGGAGATGCCCTACGTCCCGATGACCAAACAACGGACAAGTCAGATAGGTAAGGCTAGCAGGAGGCGATATTGAATGTACCGAATGTAAGAACCAATAAACTAAACTCTCGACAAGATAAGCGTCGACCGCGTGAACCCAGGCGCGTTCTGCACGAGGCTGTTAATGGTCCGCCTACAAGCATTGCGTGCGAGAGCACTTGGGGTTGATAGGAGTAGAGGGCCTGGTTCAGTTGTGTAAAACTCAAGGACAATTGTCCCAGAAATCCCATTGAAATCGGCGTCATTTAGGGCGATTTTTCTTAAATTAAAGTGTTTGCTCAACTATTTATTTAGTATTTTACCAGGTAAGGCCCCACTGAGCTATATAGATCTGCTTCAGAAGCGACCTGGCCGTCACAAATGATAGCTCAACGAAGTGGCTCATCGTCACGTGTAAATGTGTAGCAACCAAATGCTTTAAACGCGTGATGTCGATTCTAAATGTGGAGGAGAGGACCCGAAGAAAAATCCACGCGACCACGGGGACATAGACCCGCAAACTCCAAATACGCAGCAGGCGTCGGGGTCGGGATCGAACCCGCGACCTCCTGTACACCAGGCGAGGGAGTTAACATCTGGATATTGAATGTAACGAATGTGAGAGCCAATTTTAAGTAAGAGCAAAAACACATTCTAGATTTGAAGCTTTCGTGACTGCAAGGATTCATACTCTTAGGTTTTTTTCGGTAAAGTCACGTAGGTAAAAAATAAAATTAAAAGTTAATGAAAGTAATAATGGAAATAAAATAAAATAATAAATCACGACGTTTCGGAGGCAACACAAGTCTCCGTCATCAGGTGGGACCGTCACAGCTAAAATTACTGCATCAAGTGCATCAAGTGCAGTAATTTTAGCTGTGACGATCCCACCTGATGACGAAGACTTGTGTTGCCTCCGAAACGTCGTGATTTATTATTTAATTTTATTTCCATTATTACTTTAACTTTTAATTGTATTTTTTACCTACGTGACTTTACCGAAAAATAACCTAAGAGTAGCAAAAACCCAGTCGGAGAAGAGCCAATATTTAATCCACAACGAATGGTGCAATGTGCACACAAGCCATGCGCTTGCCATGGCCTCCTTGGTCTACCCACTGCTGGATGAGGGCCTCCCACCCGCGCCGTGCCGGTCGCGGGCGGTTACATGGCCGTACTTCACCACGCCGGTCAAGTGTGGGTTGGTGAAGGCTGGGAGGAGCGTATACGCGGGAGGTTTGAAGCAGTGGACTTTTTGCTGCGTCAACCTCTGCTGCCCAACGCTGTAGCCGCACGGCAGCCGGTCGCAACCTGGCATGCACGATGGGCACCCATCCGAGGACTAGCCAGGATCCACCCTGCTTAGCTTCCTAGAAGTGGAAAGACTTGGTCAGAGGCCTAGTGCGTATCGTAGATTTGTATACATCCATCGCAGGTGTATATCATCGATACAACGTCGTGTTTATGATATATGTACACCGGTGTATAATTAACGGACCGTGGAGCGATGTACGTTCATTTGCGTGTTGTATTTTTTTGGAACAGACGGGGAAACGGAGGAGCATTACGACTACGAGAACGTGAGCGACACCTTGAGTAAGTTTCAGCCACTCCGACGCGCGAGGCTTTGCACTCCCACATTGCTTCCATAGACGTCACAAGATCACGTCCATCTTTAAAGCGTGGTTAGCTCATATTCTTGGTTCTTTCAGTAAAGTCACGTAGAAGGGAAATAATACAATAATTTAAATATAAAACAATAAAATTCTCACGACGTTTCGACTGCAACACAAGCAATCATCATCACGTGTGAAATCCACAGCAAGCTCGTCAATGGATGTGGTGCTTTGTATGCATGTTGCGGTGGTGTAGCGGTTAGCGCGCTGCGCTACGAACTCGACGACCAGAGTTCGATTTTCCGCTCACTGCCACCACCAGCAACGATTATCTGAACCGGTCCTGGGCCTCCCCTAGGTCGACTCAGCCTCAAATGAGTACCTGGCGCGGTGTGTAAACATCGGCACTAGGGAGACAAAGGCGACCGGGCGTGGTGCTGGCCACCCGCCCCCTCGTGTGCCGTAACGGCCTTCATAGGTGCTACTCGCTAACAGCACTTGCTCCTACAATCTGTTAAGGCTATATGGTGGAATCTTTGTCTTTGTATGTACGTTGAACTTCTTTCGCACCATACGTAGCCAACCGAGCTAATCGGAGGTGCGGGAGAAGGACAACAAACTAAACACAAAAAGCAGCTCTAAAGAAACGAGTTTTCAACCTCTATGTAAAACTGCATAGCTCCAGTGTCTTCCTAATGTAGTGGCTTCCACGGAGACACACACTAGAACCTGGAGGCAACACGTTAATTATAACACCCCCACAGGGTAACTGCATAACGTACACTTGGTTAACTAGACCACAACGGGGTAACTACATAACTGGGTCAGTCAGTAACACACTGCCTGACCCACGATGCCGAACGTGAAGACCGAGGTACTTAGGATCGACGTAGCACCGACAGGTTCCATTCCAGCAGACAGCCGCGATTGCTCTCGGGACTTCCCTTTTATGCTCCCGGGAGGCGTGGCTTAGCTCCGCCTCGACCACGCCCCCTTCTAGATCCTACTAGAAGGTTCTGGGCTATACATCACGTGTCCCTCTCGCCACCCTTTGGCCCCTCTCCCTACCCTGTCCCGGTCACGTGCCCTCTCGGGTTCACCCAGACTGTCACGTCCTTACTTGCCCTCTCTCTGCCCGTCACCAAAACCATGCCCCCGAGGGCCCAGCTCCACGCTATACCTCTACTCTGGTGCCAGAGAGAGGCCCAAGACGCACAGTTGCACTCTTGTGACAGCAGCTGGCGCTAAACGCCATCGTGACTCCATTTACGTCGATACTCTAATATCGGAAGGAAGAGCGTTCCAGACGGCCGCAGAAGTGCATCTGAAAGTGCGTGATGGAGGGGCTGTCTTTTCTCGAGTAAACCACTACCAGAGTAACGATAGTTAACGATGATGAAGATGATGTACAGCTATTTATCCATGAGGGCCTCCCCACGCTGCGTCCATACTTCACCACGTTGGTCACATTAACAAAAAGATTCAACATACTCGTCAACAACACTCTGGCTTTAAATGAAAACACATAATTCGGCAACGTTTCGGGCAACGGCTCTTATTCAGAGCACATAATCAGAGAAGCCAGAGACATTTTATTTAAAAATGTTTTTTTCTCTCCAGATGTTCAGGATGAAGGACCTGCACAGCCGTCATCACTCCACCAGCAAAACCCTCTGTACCTCTGCAACGACACTCTGTACGGAGATGTTGCATGAGACTCGTGTAAAGGAGATCAGGATATTTTTTTAATACTGTACATATATAATCACGGTTCTTGAGCAGAGGCCCAAATGCTCAAAACTCCATGCAGGCAGCAACAAAATGAACCGGATATTATTGCAGTCGCTTCACATTGAAAGTGTTATTCGAACAGAAATGTCTGGTTTACGATTCATAATTTAAAAAATTAGCGGGGAGGCCAGGTGACCAGATTGGGGCGCCACGGTGGCGAGATGTTAACTCCCTCGCCTGGTATTCAGGAGGTCGTGAGTTCTATTCCAACCTTGACGCCTGCTGTATATTTGGAGTTTGCATATTCATTTCTTCTGATGCTATATTGTATTTTAGCTGGGGCAATGATTAACATCACACGAGTTACTGTTCAATTTTAATCATATACGAACTCAGCTTTGTCTATCCCGGTTATCTCGGTGAATCCTGGCATGAAATCTCCTGGTCATATATTTTGTAGTCAATCACAGGTAATGTAGTCAAGCTCATTTATTGTAGTAAATATTCAGGTATTCTTTCTTCTTGGTTCTTTCAGTAAAGTCACGTAGAAGGGAAGTAATAAAATAATAAAAATAAAACATAATAAAATTTTATTATGTTTTATTTTTTATTATGTTTTATTTTTATTTTTATTATTTTATTACTTCCCTTCTACGTGACTTTACTGAAATAACCAAGAAGATGAATCCCTGCAGTCACGAAAGCTTTACATCGAAATACTCATGTATTGTAGTATATCTCAGGTATTGTAGCAAAGCTCACGGCTCAGGTATTGAATGAAAACTATGAAAATTCCAAGAGGAAACTGAAATAAAATGTCGGGTCGTGTTAAATACACAGGCGGGTAATATTCGGCGAACTGAATCAATACTGCTCTACTGGTTTAAAACGCCAGAAAGGGCCAATAATGTGAGCTTCAATACAACTTGTATGCCGTAATTTTATTATGTTAATGCAGAACCGTTATGTCTTTGAAATATCTCTTTTTTAAGTATAAAGACTCATGTAAACCTTCTCGTGAAATGTGTTTGTTTTACTTGAGCTTGCGCGCATCATTATATCGACGTGTGACTGCTGGTTTCTGAATCACCCCACCAGCCATCGATGAATGCCTCTTGCTATCATCGCGATCAACGTTTTTTTTTAATCCTTTATATTAAGTTCGCTTGCTTGCTTAGGACCGTTTTTTAACCCACTCCCCGTGATCCAATCGAGCTGACATTTTGCACACAGACTCGTTGTGCGTGACAATGCATTTTCGTGAAAAAAATTCCAAAATTTTACACTGTTTAGGGAAAAAAAAATATTTAATTACCAATTGTTTAATGCTGCCAGACAATCATCTGACCCATAGGTGGCAGCCATCTCAAGCCAGAGGACGAGAGGACTCTAGCCGCCCCGATGCCACGCATATAAAGGATTTATAGTGAAAAACTTTGTTTTTACGGGTTATACTTGTTTCCGGTCCTGTTCGTAGTTTCATTCGCAACATTATCCCGCTATCTTGTTTGTTGTTCTTGTTATTGTTGTTGTGTTCAGTGTTTGTTGTCCTCCCCGCACCTCCGCTTAGCACGGTTGGCTACGCACGGTTCAACGTACATCCATACGTATCTAACGTGCGCGCACGTACGTTTCCTAAAACCAGCATATGTTTTTTGTTTTCTTGAAATTCGTTACGCGGAGTGCCACGTGCCACCACTCGACAGCGTTGGCTCGTCGATGTGACTTCAAATCACAAATGCTTTGGGCCAGTGAACGTCTCGCATCTCAAACGACGTATGCCTCGTAATTATTCTTACATTATTGTGATTATGCCTAAATGCAAACTTAAAACACCAACATCTTTTTGGAGTGTATACTATATCGGTACGCAATTGCCAGTCACAATGCTTTAAAAACTATACTGTATATTTATGTATATGATGAAGTGTTCGGCTTAGTTGTGCGCTCCGCCGTTTACGCTACTAAAATGTTTTTTCTCGTGACGGAGGCAACTATTGAAGTACATCGTGAAAGTACAGCGTGTCCACGAAGGCACCATCCATGATTCATGAATTAAAACATTCCTGCGGAGGGAGCTGGTAGGAACGTTGGGTTGCTCGGTCAATGGCCAGGGTCAACGGCGGCGTGGTGTATTCCGCAAATATGCCCGACTGTGAGGGCGGGCACAAGCCGGCGTGAGTAGGTTAAATGTTGAGTTTTATAAGGGCACCACGGGGTGACCAGCCCCTCCCCACCCAGCCCCACCCCTCCCACCCCCTCCCCACCCCTCCCCACCCAGCCCCTCCCCACCCTCCCCACCCAGCCCCTCCCCGCCCTCCCCACCCAGCCCCTCCCCACCCAGCCCCACCCGCCCCACTCAGTCCCTCCTCACCCAGCCCCTCCCCACCCTCCCCACCCAGCCCCTCCCCACCCTCCCCACCCAGCCCCTCCCCACCCAGCCCCACCCGCCCCACTCAGTCCCTCCTCACCCAGCCCCTCCCCACCCTCCCCTCCCCACCCAGCCCCTCCCTACACGACGGACACAATACTCCCCTGTGGGCTGGTGTAACCAGGAGGTTCCTACCAGTATTATGATTGTTGACCCAAGTCAAGGCTCATTATTGTTTACCTTTAATAACGGGCGGCAGCTTCACGAACCCTCTGGGATATCAATTGATGTGCATCTGAATGCTTGTTCAACACTTGGTGTGTGTGTATATATATATGAGAGTAATGTTTTACAACTATTCACAATCGCCATGGGGTTTACATCACCCCCTGCAAGCCGTGCGAGGTGCTACGACTTTTCACCGCACGCGGCGTGTTCGAAAAGTGGACTCGGCTTTGCGCCTTTTGCAACAACAACAAAAAAACCCCTTCAGTGGTTCCTGAAGAGGTGCATTGTGCTTTGTCCGAGGCCACAATCAAAATACATTTGACCAAATTTGACCGTGTGACAGCAGCAGCAGCAGTCAAGACGGCTAACGAAACTGATTTCATCCTTCTCAGGACTCATCGGTACTCGCCAATGCTCACGGATGCAAAGTCTGCCACTAAGAACCACATATGTACAGTCCCCACGTTTATGATTGCCATATAATGCACAAATCATGTCTATTGTGAATTGTTCCTTATGGGGTTTTTTTTTTGGTCGCCTTTCGTTTCCCGGTCTACATCACTTGTTCTGTTATAATGGGTATTCTCATATTTTATTACAGAATCGATTCACTGCAAAGATAAAACTAAATATATATAGTTGGATTGAATCACAGCCCACAACTGTGATAATATAATTCGTCAAACTCTTGATAAAGTAGGGCGAATCGTTCCACTTCTAAACGCAGAATGTACCCAAGCATTGCTGCTTTTCAATCCTATCGTACAATCCATTCAAAAACAGAAATATATTCTTTTTAAATGCAGCTTATCTTTAACCGAAGCGCACAACACACCGCGTGAAAAGTCAGCTAAGTAGACACTTGCGCTACGAAGCAACGACAAGAACTTCGAACCAAATTAAAAGTTTCGATTTAAAGCGTTCGTGACTGCAGGGATTCATCTTCTTGGTTCTTTCGGTAAAGTCACGTAGAAGAGAAATAATACAATAAAACAATAAAATACAATTCTCACGACGTTTCGGCCACAACGCAAGCAGTCGTTCTCAGATGCTGTCTTTCCGACAGCTCTGTTCTTCCTTTGAAGAACAGGCTGCTTGCGTTGTGGCCGAAACGTCGTGAGAATTGTATTTTATTATGTTTTATTTTTATTATTTCCCTTCTACGTGACTTTACCGAAAGAACCAAGAAGACAAATTAAAAAGCTTTCTGTGATGAAAAAACTAAGATGTTTCGTATGTCGCCGTGACAGAAATGTCACGACACGTGCGATCGTGACCATCGGAGTGAATCTTCCTGTCACCGCCGCGGCTTTGTGCCACCTAGAACGTCAGCCGTTTGCGCCGCGTTGCTACCCGAAAGGCAACTTGACTCTGCCTTTGTCCTTGGCTTTTCAACTTGATCGGCACTCGTGCAATTTGCGTTGTTGAGTGTCGGAAGGAATAACCTCGCCGCTTTTTTTTTTTTAAACTCCACCGGAAGGAAGCAAATTAAATGTGAACACGCTTCCTTTTGATTTAAAGCTTTCGTGACTGCAGGGATTCATATTCTTGGTTCTTTCGGTAAAGTCACGTAGAAGGGAAATAATAAGATAATATAAATATAAAAAATAAAAATTCTCACGTTTCGACTGCAACACAAGCAATCATCATCAGGTGTGAAATCCACAGCAAGAAATTTTGAAGAAGAAAAAAAATCTTACTGTCGATTTCACACCTGATGATGATTGCTTGTGTTGCAGTCGAAACGTCGTGAGAATTTGTTTTATATTTATATTATTTTATTATTTCCCTTCTACGTGACTTTACCGAAAGAACCAAGAATACACTTCCTTTTGTAATCCCTGCATTTTTTTAAGTACACGCATATTAATACCGTACGTGAAGATGGTTTAACTGGCTTGAATGGAATTGCTTTATTGTACAGTACTTTTTTAAAATAATTTTTTGGGGGGGGGAGGCGGCATCAAATACCCTTTTTACATATTAGCAACGTGTCATACTGTTGTTGTTTTTAAACATATAAAAATGTCCGTGCATTGTCCGATGATATTACGAGTGCGTGCGAAGTGTTTCCTTGCACACCAATAAAAGCACACACACAGGGGCTTTCTGCTCCACAAGAGTGATTGTAACGTGAAACCTTTATAGCGCGTCCGCCGCGCGATCACGTGCAGCAGCAGCAGCAACAACATTCATCTTAGCCGCGGACAATCTCGGTGGGTTGCAACTTCAAAAGCGAAAAGCGAAGCAGGGAAAACAAACAAACAAACCATGACCACGTGTCGGATACATTCATTCACCGCAATTACCGTCACGAATCATCCGTAAGGAACTGGCCCGGCCCATCGGGTTTTGGGGAACATTTGAAAACTTTGAAGCAAACGCTGCCAATTACCGAACATCGATTGGGTTTACTTGGACGTGCGCGCGTTGTGAAATAGCGCGCGCCAGATGTTTTCGGTGCTGACTACAGACAATTTAGCTCCGTGCCATTCAACGCAGTGGGGTCTGCCGTGTCTTGAGAAGGAAGCAAGCAGGGGGCAAACTGCGTCCCCAAAAGTCGCACGCGCAGGCCCACGAAATGCGCGCACACCGGTGTTTCGGAATGCCGTGGAAGACCTCGACTGCTGTGACAGCAGCTCCAGAAGATCTCCAAACCTGTCAACCCCTTATCAGTGCCCGACCATATTATTACAGACCAATTCAGACCTTATTGGTCACCCCGTGCCCCTTATAGAAAATCTCAAAACGTTCATCCGACAAGGGAGAAAAAAATGTTACTCAATTTCCCTGCACAAGAATACGGGTAAACCGTACGAGTTGACAGGTTTGGAAATCGATACAAAAATATCAATCCACACGCAAATGGGGTGGAAAACCACGTGGGTGCCAATTGAATCGGATAAGTGCCAGGCAAATCTGGCACACAAAAATGTTTTTTTACATAAACACAACGTTCTATTTACAAATTGTCGATTACAAGTTCAGTACTTCGCTGTGTAATCACGTAAATAAATTGGTAATGATTTGCCGTTCCCCACCGAACACATCGATCAAGCTGTAGGAGGGCATTGACGTTCACGCTGTCCGCGCAGAAGATCACAGAGAGCAAGCGTTGTTGTAACAGATGGAGGAGAGAAACAATGTCGAACAAAGCAGTTGTAGGGTAACACTTTTTCATTCATGTAAACACGACCGAATGGAGGGGGGCTGCCACACAAAGCAGTTTACAACTTCAACACACCGGTCCGTAGGCGCCCGAACACGTCGACATTTGCAACGTCTTAAAAGAGTAACAATCCCTTGCCATCTTCCGCACTGGCCATTCCATTGCTGACGTCCTAACAACAATTTAACAGCAGCCCAGTTGACGTTTGCTTTTTAATGTCAACATATTACACGGCGATCAACGTATAGACACCCCCACTGATTTCAAACGACCCCGGCTGGTCTCGTGCAGGACACGGTGGGGCTGGTCACAAGGCACCGTTGATGGCCTCGGCGTAAGAAGCATCATCGAATGATGTCGGCAACATCACGCCGGCTACGGTTGGACAAAGTGCATCGGGGGGACGAGTTCATGAACGATTTCATAAGTGCATCGAATTTTGTGAGAGATGTGGAGAGGCTTTGAAATTAAACGTACCGGTAGTTTTCCCCTGCAACTGATGTCTGTCTCGCCTGGCAATGCAGGAGGTCGTGGCTTAGATCCTGAACCTGACGCTGCCTTGTATATTTGGAGTTTGCGTGTCTCTCGCACCGCGGGTGCGTGGATATTTCTCCGGGTCCTCCGGTTTTTCCACTCCACATTTAGAAACGTGCGTTCAAAGTATTTGGCTGCTATGCGTTGATAAGCCGCTTCCGTTGAGCTATCATTTGTGACCAGGTCGCTTCTAAAAAAGAGCTGTGGAGGAGCGCAGTGACGCCTGACCTGGTAAGATACAAAAAGTTTCGTTTTTTCGTGGGGTATCTATAAATGGACCGTCGCTTTGCTGTACCGTTAACACCGCCGGTCGCGCCACAAATGGCGCGTGCACTTTAAACCGAACCAATCCCACTCAACATTTGTGAACAAAGTGTTGATAACGTAACACACCTTTGAGGAACGAACGAACGAACGCCGCGCTCTTGAAAAACCCAACTGCAACTTTGCTCGTGCAACAAATACAAATATTCCCGTGTTCACGAAAACAAAGCAATCGAGGGTCGTTTGAAAGCTGAAACAAAGTGCAAACTTCCGAAACGGCTTCACAGCTTGGGAGTCGAAGTGACTCTCGCTTCAAAACGCCTCCGCATCCGGCAACACTTTCGGAGCACCGCGCGACGCACACTCGCATCTCACTCAAACCGGCTCAAAAAATCTCTACCGCGGTGCCGAAACCTCTCGCACAAACAAAAACCACGTAAGCGGCAAATAATGGGGGCCTACATTCAAAATGGCATTGAGAAGCGAAGACCCCATTGAACAAGCGACCCTCTCGACCAGTTCACACTTGGATTAAAGAGCTGTGTTGGACCTAATAGAAAGACAAAGACGGCAAAAACCCGTGCGTATTGTTGGAACCAACACCCGTGCACAAAACTGGAAAACGTCACGCAACTCACTTGACCTGCTCCAACAACCAGGGCTGCCCGCAGGCTCCCGGAGGCCTGGGGCTGACGGCCCCGGGCAGAATGCCACGCGGGGAGCTCCTTTATTCAAAATCCCAGGCCCCTGATAGAGGGCCCTCTCTTGTGAGGCCCAGGGAACGTTGCCCCATGTGCCCACTCAACCCTCTCTCCGCCTGGGCGGCTCTGATAACAACAGCCATCCTGAACACGAGTTGGTGAATGTCAAGACCCGTGCAGCGGTAACACATCAAGGGTTTCTTTCTTGTTCCTTTACAAAAGAAAGACATATCCAGTCTAACTTCGACTTACCCATCTATTCCTTCATTTCCCCAACAGCATTTCAAATGACCTATTTTATCCATCTTCCTGTGTGCAATGTCTGTGTGTGTGAACGTCGCAGCGCTGGGCAGGTTTTACCATGGCGCGCTCACAACAAAAAAACTGCAATTCTTGTAAATAAATCAAACGCACCGAAACTGCCAAACAGCATGCGCACGCGCTGGGCTCCCAGTGTTCAGACACAGTATCATCAGCGCAGTGTCAGGCCACGTGCGTCTCATGCTATGGAGTGCTTGTAGCAGCGACGGTGCAAGACACAACATTTGACAGGAGCAGAGCGTGCTCGCTTAATCGCCAATCCCATTGTCGATGGCTGTAAGCGCGATAACGTTTAAAAGACTCAAGCGAGTGTTTCAGCCTCACCCGGTTTTGGAGTGTAAAGCACCGATAATGAACTAGACGTAACCCGCACAAAGATATCTTCCTCTTAGCTTTGATAATAAGTGCTAAAATGGTCGCGGAAGTGGCCGTACAGCGGTTATACCGCACTGCACTATGAACCTGGCAACCCAAGTTCAATTGTCGGTCACGACTAACATCGGTGATATTTGAATCAGTCCTGGCCCCCCTCCTTTCACCAATATGGACTCACCAAGATGAAGATGTGTGGTCATATAAACCTCATGAGTGACATGGTGTGGGGGAGGCCTTCCTCCAACAGTGCATTGACAAGGGGCTGTAGGGAACAATGGTCGGAAAGTTACAGAGGGGGGCGATGGTGTGGGGCCTGACATCTCGTCACCGGTGCTGTCTCTGCATCAGCAGCTAACTTGATGGTGGCTTAGGGGAGGTCAACACGTGGTAACGTGAACAGATCAGTGCAGTATGCCCACAACTGTGTGTGTGTATGCCAACACAACGTGGCATTTTCACAAACTACCCTTATTGTAACGGAGGTACAGCTTTTAGCTTTTATACAAACATCCATAACTGCAAGGGGGCGAGTGGAGGGTGAAAGGGAATGACCGGTTACTGATAATGATCATCTGCGCTGACAGGGCGAATTGGTTAATGGACATCATTGCAGTAGTTACACTTTGAAAGCCCCAAATAACTCCAGGCGAGTAGAAACAAAGGAGCAACGGTGAACTATCTTCTTGGTTCAGGTGAAGACGGCTGCTTGCATTGTAGCCGAAACGTCGTGAGAATTATTTTATTTTATTATGTTTTATTTTTATTATTTTATTACTTCCCTTCTACGTGACTTTACCGAAAGAACCAAGAAGATGAATCCCTGCAGTCACGAAAGCTTTAAATCGAAACGGTGAACTACTTTAGAAAAAAATGCGCGAGCAAATTTGGCCACACTACCAAACCTATGTCGGTGTACATCCATTAATAATGTACTGCGTTACTGTACTATCCGGTATGTTGGTACAGACACCATGTATCCAAACACAAAACCAACATTATAAAACAAAACATTTCAAACGTGGTTATTAACAAATGACGACAAGGACTCGGATAACAACACCGTGTTAGATGGAGAGGTAAATGAGCGATACAATAAGCTGGTGACGTACGAGCTACACACACTGAATAATTAACAAAGAAATTGCGATGAAGTTGGGACAGATAAATCAAATACAGGTGCCTCGCTCAACGAGCTGTGCGAAAAATTTGAATTTAGACCCATTTGTTCGCAAAACGAGCAAATGTTCGCGTAGCGAATCGATCGAATGCGCACCGCGTCCCGCAGCTGTTTCCCGGCTGTGCTTCCCACGTGATTCCCCATGTGGGGGGCTTCGTAATGGCACTGTAATGGGCGGGTGGGGCGGGAGGGGCGGGAGGGCTGGGGGCAGGTGGACGGGGGGCTACGCTACGGACAGGCACCCTGCACGCGCTGTGTGGTTATTCATGGGTGCTCAGTGTCACATTCGATGTTTTATTACTTTATTTCGTATTTCTCACGTTAAGAAAGTTGTTCAAGAGTGGAATGTTCTGGGGGATGAAACGTAACTCGGCTTTTAACATGGGAGTCAATGGAAAAACGGTGATCGCTTTAACGCGTTTTCGCTGAACTGGCAATTTTCGCGGAACCTATCACTCTCGTTAAGCGAGACGCGTCTGTGAAGTGCTAAATGGGCAGCACGCGACAAAAGAGCAAATGCAGGAGGCGCTACTCAAGCAGTGGACAGGAGCGATATGAAGCTGACGATAAAGTATTGTCATTTTTAAACAAAGATGACCATGCCACAAACACACACAATACTAAATGTGTTTTTAACTGCGATTCCATAGATATGCTGTGTCAGTTGTAGGCATGTAACAATTGGTAAACTTAAATCATATCTAAATTAAAAGCTGAAAAAATCTTTTCTTTAGAACTGCTTTTTGTGTTCATTTTGTTGTCCATCATGCACACCTCCGATTAGCACGATTGGGTACGTACGGTGCGAAAGAAGTTCAAGATACCTACATTACGTTCATGCTACACACATTGAAATCTTGCGTGGAAGAGCCGGTTTCATCGTATTTACACAAATTATGAAGAACAAAAAAGTTACCTTCGGCTTAATGGCATGGACGAGACCTAACGAACCTGATAAAGAACACGGGAGAGACAGTGCGGTACAAACGTACAAGCGGGATAACAGAGGAAGATTCCTAAATCGAATCGTGAAACCCTGAATCGTGACAACCTATGGAATCGCCGGCGTGCGGAGCAGGGGGTGGGGGTGGGTAAATCGTTACATGCCTAGACAGCCATGCGCCAGAGACCCACGGCGCGCTGTCCCGCCGGTGCCCGGGCCTCAGTGGAAGACCGTCTGGCGCCACCGATTGTCGTCCAGGAACGGCCACAGGCACTCGTGGATGCCCTGGCGGAACGGCGTGCGCTGCCCGACGCCCAGGCTCTCGAGCAGAGACGTGTCGAGCTGAGCGTTGTGCGGACGGGACGCCCCGGACGGAGGCTCCTCCACCTGCGGGTCGACGGGGCACGGTAGGGCTCACGGGGGCGTTCACGCGCTCACGCTCTCGCCGCTGCCAGGTGGAGCGCGCGGAGAAAAATCCGCGCCCGTATCACGGGGTGCATCGCGGTCGCCCTACCGCGCCCCGAGCTCAACTTCTATCAGAACCTCATCGATCACTTTCAATCACTTTGAGTTAAGTTGCTTCCGCAAGAAGATGCTTTTTATTCGGTCGGATTTTACACATACATGCGTGTCATTATATGAACGACAAATAAGGTTGATATTTCATCTCAGTCAACCCATGGCACCTGCGTCTGTACCGCGACCTCCTGCCAGAGGGGCGTTCCGACACTTCACGTGGCCTTAAAGTGCACGTAGCCTGGCACAAGCGCGGTGGTGACGTCACCGCCACTTAGTGGCGAATGGCGTCTGTTGTTCTATATTTAACGAAAATTAACAAGTGCGAGCACATGTTGTTTTTACAAAATCGCAATGTAATCATTCCCATTTTAGGCTATATATCAATAAAGGGGAGAATGTGCTGGATGCCCAAAGGTGTCGTGCCCGCACTAAGGCACAAGGTAAGTGAATAACACTACCACTAATAATCATCACTATGAACAGCCAGTGTATTTAATAACTATTGGCCACTGTAAGTTGCCTAGGTTACACCAGATCGATCTTGATTTGAAGCTTTCGTGACTGCAGGAATCCATACTCTTTGGTTCTTTCGGTAAAGTCACGTAGGTGAAAAAATAATAGATCACGACGTTTCGATCGCAACACAAGCAAATCGTCATCAGGTGGGGCAACCACAGACGAGAGATCTGGCGTGGCGCGAGGTTATATAGGCCACCTCGTGCCACGGCAGATCTATCGCTTACTTCAGCAGTTCTTTCTTGCTGTGGTTGTCCCACCTGATGACGATTGCTTATGTTGCGATCGAAACGTCGTGATCTATTATTTTCCTACACCAGATCAAGTTGAGGATACACACAATTCAGTGTTAAATGCCAACCTAAAGCAGCTTATCGAAGGATCCCAAGCGTAAAGGGAGATACATCCCAAGCTGTCCTACTCGGCTGCCCTTGTTATTGTGCAGCCTCAGCGCCGGTGATATTTTCTCCATACTCTCCGTTTCGACCACGTCCTTACTTGCCAGGAGACACAACACCCTCTGCGTCACGAAGAACGCGATTGGAACAGATTTTGTTTTCCCCCTCCCCCCAACAGGCACGCTCAAAGTCACGCTTCTCACCGGTCTCAGGTGGCTGCTCGGCAGATTGAAGGCATCGGCCATGGCACACGCCATCTCGTACTTAGTCATCTTTTCATTCCCCGACCAGTGGTAAATGCCCCTGATGGCGGCGGGGTCCTGCAGCAATGGGCACATAAAGCAGGAGGATCGGTCAGTTAAAGCGGCGAGGTGGCTGGCGACAATCTGTAAAAGAAAACGTTAACGGCAAAACAGGCCGTCGTACACCTGCCATCAAAATCATTGACGTAATCGCACACACACACAAGTCGAGTCAATGAGCTTAGCGTTAAAGTCTAATCATCAAAAACAAATTAAGCTTCAAACTCGTGTTGGGGACAGCCCTGGAACTCACAACCCAAGTACGTATCGACAAGATAAGAGCTCTGTGGATTTTTGTATGCACTTTCCTGCAAAGGCCAGAACAGTGGGGTCAGAACAGTGGGGTCAAAACAGTGGGGTCAGAACAGTGGGGTAGAGTCTGGCACCACCGCTATCCCCCTATCTTGTACCCTCCGCCATCCCCTGGTCACCCCACACCCCCACCCCTCCCCTTGGTCACCCCACACCCCCACCCCCAGAGGTCGCAAACGGGTTTTGATTCCTTACCCGTACCCGGCCGCACCAGGGTCGCAAACGACTACCCGTACCCGTACCCGGCCGGGTACGGGTAGCCGGGTATCGGGTAGGGTACGGGTATCGGGTACCCGGTTGCGACCTCTGCCCACCCCCACCGAAGCGACGTCACCAGCACCTGCAGGTGCAGCTCGGTCAGCTGGCGGCACACGAGGGCGACGTCGCGCGTGTGCGTCGGGTAGCGCTGCTGCCAGTGCTCCAAGTCGGCCGACTTGTTGGCGTGCTGCACGCGGTCGAACATCACGGACACGGCGCTCTCCGCCAGGGTCTCGACGGCGCCGTACAGCACCGGCACGCGCAGCACCGCCGCGGCTGCCGTGTGCACGCACGCATACACGCACGCACGCACACACGCACGCACACACGCACGCACGCGCACACGCGCACACACGCACGCACGGACACACGCACGCATGCACGCACGCGCACACGCGCACACGCACGCACGCACGCACGCACACACGCACACACGCACGCACACACGCACGCACGCACGCACACACGCACGCAGGGCATTCAATTAATCGTTGCAAATCTGGGTCCCTTATCGATTGAATAAATTTCGATTTAAAGCTTTCGTGACTGCAGGGATTCATCTTCTTGGTTCTTTCGGTAACGTCACATAGAATGGAAATAATAAAATAATAAAACGTAATAAAATACAATTGTCACGACGTTTCGGCTGCTTGCGTTGTGGCCGAAACGTCGTGAGAATTGTATTTTATTATGTTTTATTTTTATTCTTTTACCGAAAGAACCAAGAAGATTCAATAATTGTTCGGCTTGATTGTATTGTCCGTTTCCATTGCGTCGTCTGTTTTTCTTGTTCGTTCTCATGCTCGCACTGTCTCGTGTCAAGTCTCCTTTGTTTCGTCTTCCTTATTTGTACTTTCTTTCATTCCGTACCCTCAGTTACATCCGCTTCATCTCTAGAATCTGTGCAAATTGTACTGCGTGTACTGTTCGTCGTAACAGCACCTTTGAGACGTATTGCAAGCACGTTCTCGTTTGTTCTGTACGTCTCGTTTGTTTTGTACGTCTCGTTTGTTAGTTGTGTCTTTAAGGACCCTGTCGTCGTTCTCTGCAATGTTGACGTTCTTGTCTTTTGTTTAATGTCGTTGTTGTGCTCACGCAGCACCACGGATCAAACTCGTACAATGGTCGGGCAACTGGCTAAATGGAACCATCTGTGTAGCAAATCAAATAAACTCAAGCTCTATTGTCTAACTCATTATTTCTGTGCATTTTTTAAAATAAACATTAACCTCAAGAAACTTTGCATCACATACACAAAAACCCTAATTATTGTTGCACGCAACATTCCATGCGAATTATAAAAGATGCAATGGCCAAGTAATTATTTATATATTTTAATCTTTTCCCCACATTTTTTCTCTCGATAAAGTTATCGGTCATCAAGTCACGGGGCGAAGAACCCCCTGGGACCTCTCGCACAGCGGTGGAGACCTCCATCGACCCCTGGAAGTGACCATCACAGAGCTGCCACCACCGAGATCCCTTCCGATCCATGCCTGTTCAATCGCCGCTGAATCTCTCAACAACTAAGCGAGTGGGGGGCTGCGTGGAGCCACGGGGAAGGGGAGGGATACGTGTGGAGGTGGAGGGGGGGGGGCGGGATAGAGTTCATGCGTGGTGGGGGGGGGGGTACACACACCGGGGTGTTCGCGCAGCGTCGCCTGCTCGCCCTCCAGCTTGCTGCGCCCGTACGCGCTGAGCGGCCGTGGCTCGGCGCTCTCGCTGTAGGGGGGGCTGCTGCCGTCGAACACGTAGTCCGTGCTGATGTAGATCAGGAAGCCGCCTACCTGGGCTGCACGTTAACGAGACGGGGTGCGGGAGGGGGTGGAGACGTTAGTGTTATCGGTGACACGACGGAGCGTGAAGGAGGTGACTGCCACGGTGGCTAGGAGATGTTGACGACCTCGCCTGGTGTGCAGGAGGTCGTGGGTTCGATCCCGACCTTGACGCCTGCTGCTGTATATTTGGAGTTTGTGTCTCTCTCTCTCATCATCACGGTGGCTAGGAGATGTTGACGACCTCGCCTGGTGTGCAGGAGGTCGTGGGTTCGATCCCGACCTTGACGCCTGCTGTATATTTGGAGTTTGTGTCTCTCTCTCTCATCATCACGGTGGCTAGGAGATGTTGACGACCTCGCCTGGTGTGCAGGAGGTCGTGGGTTCGATCCCGACCTTGACGCCTGCTGTATATTTGGAGTTTGCGTCTCTCTCTCTCATCATCATCACGGTGGCTAGGAGATATTAACTACCTCGCCTGGTATGCAGGAGGTCGTAGGTTCGATCCCAACCCTGACGCCTGCTGTATACACTATTTGGAGTTTACGGTGTCTCTCCCCCCGTGGTCGCCTGGATTTTTTTCCGGGTCCTCCGGTTTTTCCCTCCACATTTAGAATCAACGTCACGCGTTTAGAGTATTTGGTTGCTATAAATTCCCCCGCGGTGATACGCCACTTCGTTGAGCTACCATTTGTTATAGCCAGGTCGCTTCTCAGTGGGGCCTTGCCTGGTAAAATAAAAGACAGTTTTAGCTTATAGGGTGGGTGGGTGGGTGGGGTAGGGGTGCGGTGAGAAGAGTCTCGTGGGTGAACGTCACACCGGTCTCCCGCGCGAGCGTGGCGGACGCGACCACGTTGAGGAGGTGAGCGGAATGCGGCTCGTTCTCCACCACGTCCGGCCTGCGCTCCGCCGCGCAGTGGACGACCACGTGAGGCTGCCGCGCACACACACACACGAGCACGCGCGCGTACGTATCATCATCATCATCATCACCATCACCCTCGGACATGATCCATCCACTGCTGGATGAAGGCGAATCGCCAACCCTCACCGTCGAGTGATGCGACAATGCACCTTGCTCCTGCGCGTGAGCGGACCTCGTCGTTTCATCTCCGCGGTGGGCGACCTCTCGGGCGTGTTTCCCTCCTTTAGCTGCCACTCCATCGTCGGTCTCGACCATCGGTCTTCGTCCCTTCTAATGCCCTTCCCTGGCCCCCTTAATTTTTTTTAACAGTTAATGTGACGTCTCCCGCTTGCCGTATTCCCACCACCCTGCCAGCTTGCAGCCGAGCATGCGGAGTGTCTCACAGCACAAAATAGGATCCGCACGATCGGCTTTAGGCCAGCGTTTAAAGTGCTGGCTTACAGGTGTGCACCTCCAAGCCTGGTTGACTGATGCTCCTATGCACACTGATTAAATCAAATAACTTTCTTCCCGTAGTTAAGTTCCTTCTTTATCACTACCAGTGATACCTTCACTAATGGTACAAGCTCATTCTACCACAATGTTTACTCCCATTGATTCTGTGTTAATCCATCATATCGTAGGAGAAAAAAAATCCCTTTTTCCTTACATTCCTCGACTTTGTAACTCCATCCAATCACCTATTTTCCCAAATTCCTATGACTTCGCTCAATTCAAGAAACACGGTACGGTAATTTGTATCTGCTTACCTATAACCGAGGGGCAGAGGTCGCAACCGGGTACCTGATACCCGTACCCTACCCGATACCCGGCTACCCGTACCCGGCCGGGTACGGGTACGGGTACCCGTTTGCGACCCTGGTGCGGCCGGGTACGGGTAGACCGTGAGTCACTGGTGAGTAACTGTTTGTCACTCATTTCCCAACGTCTTGTCTCTTCTTACAATTCAAGTTCCTAGAATCAACCCACCCACGCCTGCAACATGGCTTCATCCCAGAGGTCGCAATCAGGTACCCGATACCCGTACCCTACCCGTACCCGGCCGGGTGCGGATAGGGTACGGGTACGGCCGGGTACGGGTACCCGTTTTCGACCCTGGTGCGGCCGGGTACGGGTAAGGAATCAAAACCCATTTGCGACCTCTGCCGAGGGGGTATGGTGCGGCGGTGGCGCAGTGGACAGTGGACTACGACGTGAACCCAGCAACCCAACGTCCATCCTTGGCCAGGGCCAACATCAACATGGCGAGGGAAAGCTGGCCAGGCCCACTGGGCTCGCCCCTTCACAGCAACCCACACTCTGCCCAGCATGGCAACGTGCGGACAAAACAAATCCCATGACCAACACAGTACGGGGAGGCCTTCCATCCATTACAGGCAAACAATACGGCTGAATATTATGATGATATACAGCCGTTTGAGATGTTAACTACCTCGCCTAGTATACAGGAGGTCGTGGGTTCGATCCCGACCGTGACACCTGCTGTTTATTTGGTGTTTGAGTGTCTCTCTTTCTGGTTGCGGAGATTTTTCTCCCTCCGGTTTTTGAATCAACATGCATAGAAAATATGTTGCGATATATTTCCACGCAATGAGCCACTTCATTGAGCTATCATTTGTGATAGTGTATAAATAATGATCATATAGCTCAATGGGCATTTCCTAGTACAACATATAATAGTAGTATCGTATTAATAACTATTATTATTGAACTGTCATTACTATCACAGCATTCGTTTGCTAGCCGCTTTATAAATTTAACACGTAGGTTTTCGCGAGCAATATTATTCATAATAAGAGTTCATTGTAATTATCAGCAAAACGTCGTACTCAAATTGTAAACGTTGTGGGTTAACTCTCCAACACAATGGTGTGCTGAAGTAGTAACTAATTGCCATAATTTGTTTACTTGACAAACCTTACATTTTGACTTTGATACCCCCCCCCCGATCACCTACACATTCCACAAGTAGTGACTAATCCCATATCTGCATTTTCCATAAATATGCTAAATCCCTCTGTTGATATGCAAATTCCTTTGTCAAGGCGCCCTCCTCCTCTAACCCAGCTTAAATATACGCTGCCAAGCTTGGTGGTGTTCATTCAGACGCTGTCTTTCCGACAGACCTGTTCTTCACCTGAGGACGGCTGCTTGCGTTGTGGCCGAAACGTCGTGAGAATTGTATTTTATTATGTTTTATTTCTATTAATTTATTATTTCCCTTCTACGTGACTTTACCGAAAGAACCAAGAAGTTGACAAACCTTACTAATCGGTTGTATCGGGTGGTGCTGGGTTAGCGACACATTTATATTTACGCCATCCAACCCAAAATAACTTCCATTAAGAATAACCACTTTGCGTCACGGCCCTTTTGGATTCGGTGCTCGGCAACCGTGCGGCGACGGACCTTGAAGTCCTGGACGAGGTTGCGCACCGCCGCGTCGTCGCACAGGTCCAACGGGAGGTGGTGCGGGCGAGCCCGGCGTAGCCCCGTGCCCAGCGGCAGCCAGCCGTTGTTGAGGAACTCCTGGTGGACGGCGCGGCCCAGCATGCCCGTGGCGCCCGTCACCAGCACGCGCCGCTCACGCACGCTCTCCTCCCCCTGCCGGGACGGACACACGCACACGCACACGTACGCGCGCGGTCGTGCGTCGCTCCGGACGTCAGCTGCTAAGCCGGACAGAGCTTTGTCCTCAGATCAGTGCCCCGTCAGGAATAGTCAGGTGTGGGGCTGCGAGGAATGAAGGATGCCACTAAGCAGTTGGAGGCAGTGACTTGCTTGCCATTTTCTCTATTTTGCACTCCGATAATTTTTTGTTGTTGTAACTTTCTTGTTGTTGTTGTTTGACTTGCATCCCACTGGGATTTTTGCACACAGCGTTGGTGTACGGTGTTTTTTCTGCAATATTTTGCTGTCTTTTCTTGAAGATTCTGTTTGCACTTAGTCACATATTCACTTTAAGATGTTTTTTGTTCATGTTTTTGTTTTTTGTTTGTTGCGGTTGCACCCGATTCAAGAGCCAAATGGCTCACAGGGCTATACCTAATAAATGAATTTGAACTTGAACTTGAACCCGCCGATGCTGAACATCTGTAAAGAAGAGCTTCGGAGCTTATCAGATAGTCTAAATAAAGATTTTGATCCTCATGTACCTGCGCTGGGTTCCTCAGCTGTTGTTGTCCAGCGGGTCACGTAGTAAATCTAACGCTTGCTGGCAGGGCATGCTTTTGACTAGCTATCCAACAAAGATGGTCACCACATCGCGCGCCACTGGAGCTATGCACAACAAACATATAGATTGAAAACTCATTTCTTTAAGAGTGCCTTTTTGTGTTTAGTTTGTTGTCCTTCCCCCGCACCTCCGATAATCACTGCCGGCTACGTATGGTGCGAAGGAAGATTAACATACACATGCGATGTCGCGAAATATCTTCACATCGTAGTGTCAAGTGTACAGAACATTATGATTTAAATGGTGTTGTGACATCACCACGTCTTCATACGTCACTGCTAATCTGTTACCTCCTGTCTCCAGGAGCCCGGGTGCAAAAAAATTGTGTAAAACCTATCAGGCAGTGAATTGCATCGGCTCCGAAAATATGCACGGAGTGAAATTCTCAGTGTCTGTGCAAATTTGAACACTCGTCAGTGGTTGCTATGGATTACATCATCACTCCCGTTACACCAGCCAATCAGCTGCCAGGAAAACAATCCTCACGCAACATGGCGACCGTGTTGCATCAGGACTTGCGCAACATGGCTGCCGTGACGTCATCGCTCCATGAGCTTAAGGTGACCTAAGTCGCATATTTATATTATTCATGTAATTTAAACTCGAGTGTAATTTTGCGTGCAATGATTTGTGCAAAGCGTGTGAGAGGGCATCTATGTCACTGTTTGAGTGTGTTACTTTGAGTGGGAATGTCTTTATGTGTGACAGTGGTTTTTGTGTTTTCTTATTATTTATGTACTAGCCTTGATAGGTGCTCGCTAACAGTATTTTGAAAGGCTATATGGAGGATCTGTTTAGTTTATTTGTGACAGTGCGTGTTCGTGTGGGGCGAGTATTTGTATTCGATTGTGCATGTGTGTGTTTGTGCTTTGAGTGTATAGGTGTGTATTTGTAATAGTATGTGGATGTATGGCTGTACCTCTGTATGTGTATTTGTTAAAGTGTGTGCAGAGCAGTAGCGTCGCAGTTAGCACGCTATGCCAAGAACCCAGCGACTGGAGTTCGATTCCCACTCGCAGCCAACACCAGTGACTATCTGAACCGGTCCTGGGCCTCCCCTAGGTAGGCTCAGCCTCAAATGAGTACCTGGTGCAGTGTGTAGAAAACATTGCCACTGGGGAGACAAGGATGGTCAGGCGTGGTGTTGGACATTCACCCCCTCATGTATCATGTCGGCCTTATTAGATCCTCGCTAACAGCATTTGCCCCAACAGTCTGTTCAGGCTATACGGGAGATCTTTGTCTTTGGACGTGAGTGATGGCTGACTCACTGGTCTCATGGAAATGTATGCAATCCTCTTGCGTAATTCTCGTAGGGACTAGGAAATTGGGACGAATCTTTGGTTACATATTTGATAGAATTGTGTAAGACGTCCAGGTCGTCTCTCATCTCTCTTATTTATCTTTTGATTTTATGAATGTCTATCCCTTAAGGTCTCAGTGAGCCGTAACTCTCGGCATATCATAGCTTCGTGGGGGGGGGGAGGTACTCCTACAACCTTTTTGAGCCAGATATGGCCCATGACAGCTGGCTGAAGAACTCTGCATTGTTGCTTTGTGTTGATCAAACGAAAAAATTCCAAGTGGTTTTATGCCCAACTCTTGTACAAAGCCAAGCGGTGGGACCTCCTTATTCGTATCCTGGGGAAGAGACAACTGACATGAAAATTACTGCTGACGTTTTATTGACTCTGAAGGTTTAAAAGGCTGCCCTCTCACCCCAGAGTGGAATTTGTACTCGCAACAATACGATTGTGAGTGCACGGCCATTCCACATTCTCTTCACAGGCACACACATTTATCAAGATCGCGCACGCAATGCCGTAGACACCACGACACACGCCGATTGTTCTTCCTTCTGCCAGATCCTAACAACGTTTGCCCTGTCTTAGTTCTGCTTTTAAATGTCTTATTACTTACAAACCGGACGTATGAGTCACTGCAATGCCAGTCTCAGTAACCTCACAACCACCTCCATATCCTGTGCGCGTGCCCCACCCGTCACAACCTGCTTCCTGAACACGTCCACGATTCATCTTCTTGGTTCTTTCGGTAAAGTCACGTAGAAGGGAAGTAATAAAATAATAAAAATAAAACATAATAAAAAATAATTCTCACGACGTTTCGGCCACAACGCAAGCAGCCGTCCTCAGGTGACGCTGTCTCCCCGACAGACCTGGTTTTCACCTGAGGACGGCTGCTTGCGTTGTGGCCGAACCGTCTTGAGAATTATTTTTTATTATGTTTTATTTTTATTATTTTATTACTTCCCTTCTACGTGACTTTACCGAAAGAACCAAGAAGATGAATCCCTGCAGTCAAGAAAGCTTTAAATCGAAACGTCCATGATTATTTCATGTCACGTTCAAGTATGGACTTTCAAGTGGCTTACCAAACCATACCCATGCCATGAAATACATCGCATGCTCAGCCAGCATTGCACGTGTATTCGACAGGCAGATGTCTCGCTTGCAATGGGTCGGCTTCTCTTGAGCTACACAAGAGTCTGTAGCAACACAAACTTTACTTCTGCCTCGAACACCCCCGTGTTCTGCCAACACTAGAGGTGACAACTAAACGTACACAACTGTAAACGTTTTACACCACCGATATGATACAAACAGGAACACCTGTACTCATACCTGTCAACCCCTTATCAGTGCTACTTATTACAGACCAATTTAGACCTTATTGGTCACGCCGTGCCACTTATAAATCTCAACGTTAATTCTACAAAGTCCCATTACAAGGGAGACACACAAAGAGAGGGCATTCTTTTACCCGTATTGAAAACTCAACTTCCCTGTACAACGAATACGATTACGAAGTAAACCGTATGGGCTAACAGTTGTGTCCTGTGCAATTATCGCAATGACAACGAAAGCTAACCGTTAAATAATACAACATGCGGTCAATTATAACGTGATGTATAGAATAGTAAATGCAATAAAATACACTCTTAAACTTCACGTAGAGGTGATATCCTATTTAGGTTTTTTTTTTAAACGTATCGATGTTAAAATATGAGCAGTAACATAAACACGTGTTACTGAACACAGTGAAGACATCGTATTCACCCCGAACACGATGAACATCAACTCACAGTGACCCAACAGGATCGTGAATTCATAACAGCCAGCAAAAAAATCATCTATTTATGGGACGTCAAATGCTTTAAATTTTGTCCATTAAGCACGGTGGGCTACCTACAATGCGGAAAAATCCCAACACACACGGACACATTTGGCAAAAGCCGAACGCACGACATATACAGTATTCATATATGAATGAATAATAATTCAACTTTATAACCATTCAAGCTGCGCTGTGTGAAGATATTGTGCCAGTTACAAACAGCACTGTTAGTCGTGTCAATTAGGAGGGCGTGGAAGCGTCTTGTAACTGAACCCAACACGGAAAACGTCAAATCACCCACAGCAAGCGGACAAGCTGCGGCATCTAAAACATTAATCCCGAGTATGGCCAGCATTTAGTAACGAATTGCGTTGAATTAAGAGTTACACGGCGTTAAATATCGTGGGGGGCACGATTGCGGGCGTGCACTGCAAGGCAAAGCCAACGAATCTCCCTGCGTAGCATGAACAGGCTGTCTGGGGCAAGTGTCGTTAGCTACAAGCCTCACCTGGTACACACTCTGTGCTACAAGCCTCACCTTGACTCTGTGCTACAAACCTCACCTGGTACAGACTCTGTGCCACAAGCCTCACCTGGTACAGACTCTGTGTTACAAACCTCACCTGGTACAGACTCTGTACCACAAGCCTCACCTGGTACAGACTCTGTACCACAAGCCTCACCTTGTACACAGACTCTGTGCCACAAACCTCACCTGGTACAGACTCTGTGCTACAAACCTCACCTGGCCCACACTCTGTGCCACACGCCTCACCTGGTACACACTCTGTGCCACAAGCCTCACCTAGCACACACTCTGTGCTACAAGCCTCACCTGGTACACACTCTGTGCCACAAGCCTCACCTGGTACACACTCTGTGTTACAAGCCTCACCTGGTACAGAGTCTGTGCCACAAGCCTCACCTGGTACAGACTCTGTGCCACAAGCCTCACCTGGTACAGACTCTGTGCTACAAACCTCACCTGGTACAGACTCTGTGCTACAAACCTCACCTGGTACAGACTCTGTACCACAAACCTCACCTGGTACAGACTCTGTGCCACAAGCCTCACCTGGTACAGACTCTGTGCCACAAGCCTCACCTGGTACAGACTCTGTGCCACAAGCCTCACCTTGACTCTGTGCCACAAGCCTCACCTGGTACAGACTCTGTGCTACAAGCCTCACCTGGTACAGACTCTGTGCCACAAGCCTCACCTGGTACAGACTCTGTGCCACAAGCCTCACCTGGTACAGACTCTGTGCCACAAACCTCACCTGGTACAGACTCTGTGCCACAAGCCTCACCTTGACTCTGTGCCACAAGCCTCACCTGGTACAGACTCTGTGCTACAAGCCTCACCTGGTACAGACTCTGTGCCACAAGCCTCACCTGGTACAGACTCTGTGCCACAAGCCTCACCTGATACAGACTCTGTGCCACAAACCTCACCTGGTACAGACTCTGTGCTACAAGCCTCACCTGGTACACACTCTGTGCCACAAGCCTCACCTGGTACACACTCTGTGCTACAAGCCTCACCTGGTACAGACTCTGTGCCACAAGCCTCACCTGGTACACACTCTGTGCCACAAGCCTCACCTGGTACACACTCTGTGCCACAAACCTCACCTGGTACACACTCTGTGCCACAAACCTCACCTGGTACACACTCTGTGCCACAAGTCTCACCTGGTACAGACTCTGTGCTACAAACCTCACCTGGTACAGACTCTGTGCTACAAGCCTCACCTGGTACAGACTCTGTGCCACAAGTCTCACCTGGTACAGACTCTGTGCCACAAGCCTCACCTTGACTCTGTGCCACAAGCCTCACCTGGTACAGACTCTGTGCTACAAGCCTCACCTGGTACAGACTCTGTGCCACAAGCCTCACCTGGTACAGACTCTGTGCCACAAGCCTCACCTGGTACAGACTCTGTGCCACAAACCTCACCTGGTACAGACTCTGTGCCACAAGCCTCACCTTGACTCTGTGCCACAAGCCTCACCTGGTACAGACTCTGTGCTACAAGCCTCACCTGGTACAGACTCTGTGCCACAAGCCTCACCTGGTACAGACTCTGTGCCACAAGCCTCACCTGATACAGACTCTGTGCCACAAACCTCACCTGGTACAGACTCTGTGCTACAAGCCTCACCTGGTACACACTCTGTGCCACAAGCCTCACCTGGTACACACTCTGTGCTACAAGCCTCACCTGGTACAGACTCTGTGCCACAAGCCTCACCTGGTACACACTCTGTGCCACAAGCCTCACCTGGTACACACTCTGTGCCACAAACCTCACCTGGTACACACTCTGTGCCACAAACCTCACCTGGTACACACTCTGTGCCACAAGTCTCACCTGGTACAGACTCTGTGCTACAAACCTCACCTGGTACAGACTCTGTGCTACAAGCCTCACCTGGTACAGACTCTGTGCCACAAGTCTCACCTGGTACAGACTCTGTGCTACAAACCTCACCTGGTACACACTCTGTGCTACAAACCTCACCTGGTACACACTCTGTGCTACAAACCTCACCTGGTACAGACTCTGTGTTACAAGCCTCACCTGGTACAGACTCTGTGTTACAAGTCTCACCTGGTACAGAGTCTGTGCTACAAGTCTCACCTGGTACAGACTCTGTGCCACAAGCCTCACCTGGTACACACTCTGTGCTACAAACCTCACCTGGTACACACTCTGTGCTACAAGTCTCACCTGGTACACACTCTGTGCTACAAGCCTCACCTGGTACACACTCTGTGCCACAAGCCTCACCTGGTACACACTCTGTGCTACAAACCTCACCTGGTACACACTCTGTGCTACAAGTCTCACCTGGTACACACTCTGTGCTACAAGCCTCACCTGGTACACACTCTGTGCTACAAGCCTCACCTGGTACAGACTCTGTGCCACAAGCCTCATCTGGTACACACTCTGTTACAAACCTCACCTGGTACACACTCTGTGCCACAAGCCTCACCTGGTACAGACTCTGTGCCACAAGCCTCACCTGGTACACACTCTGTGCTACAAACCTCACCTGGTACAGACTCTGTGCCACAAGCCTCACCTGGTACAGACTCTGTGCCACAAGCCTCACCTGGTACAGACTCTGTGCTACAAACCTCACCTGGTACACACTCTGTGCTACAAACCTCACCTGGTACAGACTCTGTGCTACAAGCCTCACCTGGTACACACTCTGTGCTACAAGCCTCACCTGGTACACACTCTGTGCTACAAGCCTCATCTGGTACACACTCTGTGCTACAAGCCTCATCTGGTACACACTCTGTGCTACACGCCTCACCTGGTACAGACTCTGTGCTACAAGCCTCACCTGGTACACACTCTGTGCTACAAGTCTCACCTGGTACACACTCTGTGCTACAAGCCTCACCTTGACTCTGTGCTACAAGCCTCACCTGGTACACACTCTGTGCCACAAGCCTCACCTGGTACACACTCTGTGCTACAAGTCTCACCTGGTACACACTCTGTGCTACAAGCCTCACCTGGTACAGACTCTGTGCCACAACCCTCACCTGGTACACACTCTGTGCTACAAGCCTCACCTAGTACACACTCTGTGCCACAAGCCTCACCTGGTACAGACTCTGTGCTACAAGTCTCACCTGGTACACACTCTGTGTTACAAGCCTCACCTGGTACAGACTCTGTGCTACAAGCCTCACCTTGCATAGTTCAACGTGACCGGGGCTGTAGCGAATGTTGAGGCCTCTCTCCAGCCCGTACGACTGCATCTCTCTTTCTCTCCGCGTGCGTGTGATGGTTTAGATAACAAGGACTCTTAATCTTTTCCACCACCACGGTTTTAAAAATGTAAATTTAAACCCGAAAACGTTGCCTCGATCGCGACAACAACAAACAACAACAGCCCGTGGTGGTGGTGGTGTGGTGGTGGTATGGGTGGCGTTCAATTTCCATAGACCGCTTCGGCCGCGCGCGACTCTGATTGGTCCGCCGCGAGTGCCTCGCGCGATGATCGCGCTTCCCGATTGGCTGACGCGCGAGCGCGGGGACCAATCGGAGAGCCGCTGAGCGTGCGGGTGCCTTGTGCGTTGTACGGAATGCAAACGGGGCAGTGGTAACCCGGAAGTGAACGATGTTGACGTTTTGAGGTCCTTTAAACGTCAAACGCTGCACTGGGTAATGGAGAGAGAGAGGCTTTTAAAAATATATACAAATAAATGTTTATGTTGGACAGGATGTTATATTTAAAATATGTGCGGTAACTTATGGGTGCCTATGGATTTTTAAAAATATTTTGGATAAAAAAAATGTTTTTTTTGTGTTTGTGCCGTACTGTTTGTGCATTGTCATAAGTGTTTGTGATGGATTATTGGGTGTCTATGCCAAGCGTAGTTTGTTTATTCTGACTTTCGTACGCATAGCCGTAGTGATCATAGCTGTCGTGATTATAACTGTAGTGATCACAGTTGTAGTGATCGTAGCTGTCAACCTACACGATCTACCCGTATTCTTGTAGAGGGAAATGTAGTTTCCAAGTCCATACGGCGTGTAGCCGTTTCAATACGGGCAAAAAATATCTATATCACGACCCACGGTGGACACGACCCACAGTGGTGTCTGGCGGTGTTGGTGGTGGTGGTGACGGTGGTGGTGGTGGCGGTGGTGTTGGTGGTGGTGGTGATGGTGGTGATGGTGGTGACGGTGGTGTCTGGCGGTGTTGATGGTGGTAGTGACGGTGGTGGTGGTGACGGCGGTGGTGGTTGGTGTTGGTGGTGGTGATGGTGGTGGTTGGTGGTGACGGTGGTGGTGTTGGTGGTGATGGTGGTGGCGACGGTGGTGGTGTTGGTGATGGTGGTGGTGTTGGTGGTGGTGACGGTGGTGGTGGTGTTGGTGGTGATGGTGGTGGCGACGGTGGTGGTGTTGGTGGTGGTGTTGGTGGTGGTGACGGTGGTGGTGGTGTTGGTGGTGATGGTGGTGGCGACGGTGGTGGTGTTGGTGGTGGTGGTGTTGGTGGTGGTGGTGACGGTGGTGGTGTTGGTGGTGGTGTTGGTGGTGGTGGTGGTGGTGACGGTGGTGGTGTTGGTGGTGGCGATGTTGGTGGTGGTGGTGGTGACGGTGGTGGTGTTGGTGGTGGTGACGGTGGTGGTGGTGTTGGTGGTGGTGGTGACGGTGGTGGTGACGGTGGTGGTGACCGTGGTGGGTGGTGGTGTTGGGTCGATTTTGTGACCGGCAACTTTGAGAACTCCGCTGCAACGCCCCGGGATTGTGGCAGGGGGCACCAAACGGCCACGAATTTCACTTCGGAACGCCACGAAAAATGTGGCCCCACCACCACGACCACCACCACCCCCACCACGACCACCACCACCACCCCCCACCACGACCACCACCACCACCCCCACCACGACCACCACCACCCCCACCACCACCACGACCACCACCACCACGACCCTCTCTGCTGCTGCCCTCTGCGTGTGACACGGAAGCGTTTAGAAGAAGGCGGTAGAGGAGTCGTGGAACCGCCAACAACAGATCGGTTTTTATTTGTTTACCTTTTATACAAAGACACAATGTCGAGACTAAGAAGGTTGCCAGACTCGTCGTAATCCCACGGCAGTGTTTTAAGAGCCCCCTCTGTGTGTGTGCGTGTACTGTCCCAGCAAGTTGGCACAGTAGGGGGGCACAGGTGGTGCATCAGCCGGTCATCTCGGTCATCTCGGTCAGTCGACCCGTGGCACCTGCTGGGTCTGCCCCGTGACCTCCTCCTGCCAGCGGGCGTTCGACACTTCAGGTGGCAGCCTCAAGGTGCACATGGCCTGGCACAAGCGTCGTGGTGACGTCACCGCCACTTAGTGGCGAATGGCGGTTGTTGTTGTCTGTATGTGGCTAAAGCACAGCAAGTTGGCACAGTAGGGGGGCACAGGTGGTGCATCAGCCGGTCATCTCGGTCATCTCGGTCAGTCGACCCGTGGCACCTGCTGGGTCTACCCCGTGACCTCCTGCCAGCGGGCGTTCGACACTTCACGTGGCAGCCTCAAGGTGCACATGGCCTGGCACAAGCGTCGTGGTGACGTCACCGCCACCTAGTGGCGAATGGCGGTTGTTGTTGTTGTGTGAGAGACGTACGTGCTGTTTCACAACACAGGTAACTCACACACTGTTATACTGCCATCCTTTGTAACGCAGTGATGCTCTTTCGATTTAAAGCTTTCGTGACTGCAGGGATTCATCTTCTTGGTTCTTTCAGTAAAGTGACGTAGAATGGAAATAATAAAATAATAAAAATAAAACATTAATCATTCAGACTCTGTCTCCTCGACAGACCTGTTCTCCACCTGCGGACGGCTGCTTGCGTTGTGGCCGAAACGTCGTGAGAATTATTTTATTATGTTTTATTTTTATTATTTCCATTCTACGTGACTTTACCGAAAGAACCAAGAAGACAGTGACGATCATTGTAGACATTGACTGCCCTTTGTACATCCTCTGGCCGGATGAACACATGTTCGTGCTGTGTCGGTCATGGGAGGATTGTTTGACTATACTTCACCACGCTGGTCCATGGGTACGCTAAACACAAGGACCGGTTCCGGATATATGACCGTGGCCCGAAATCCAACTCAGATTCGCGAGTTTGTCATCAATACATCCCTGTAACACGTATCCTTTATTAAATCCTTTATATTAAGTTCGCTTGCTTGCTTGCTTGCGTGCTTGCTTGCTTGCGTACGACCGTGCAAACCTTTCGGTCGTTTTTTAACCCACTTCCCGTGATCCAATCGAGCTGACATTTTGCACACAGACTCGTTGTGCGAGACAATTAATGTTCGTGAAAATTTTTTTCCAAAATTTTACACTGTTTAGGGAAAACAAATTAAATATTTAATTACCAATTGTTTAATGCTGGCAGACAATCATCTGACCCATAGGTGGCAGCCATCTCAAGCCAGAGGATGAGAGGACTCTAGCCGCCACGCATATAAAGGATTTAGAGTGAAAAACTTTGTTTTTACGGGTTATACTTATTACCCTACCATGATTGTATGTTGGTCTTGTGGAAAGTCTCATTGTGTAAGTTTTTTTACGTTGCTCATAAGCGTTTAGAGTAGTCGATTACATTCAAGCAACGTTGTTGTTTACTATACGTCTAAGGCTTCCACGTGTATGTTCGTCACCTTCGCCAGCCCTCCTTGACCAGCGTGGTGAAGTATACTCAAATAACCCCCCACACACACACACCTAATGGGGAAGACCCTGAATCCAGCAGTGGATTGAACAAGGCCTGTCAGGTGTAGGTAAGCGCCACGTGGTGGTTAAGAGGCATGTCGTCGTGAGAGTGAAGACGTCATTAGGGGCCGTCCATAAATGACGTCACGCGATTTTGGACGAGTTTTGACCCCCCCCCACCCCCACTTCGTCACACGACGTCACAAAAAGTCAGACCCCCCCTCAAATATGACGTCACAAAGCTCTGCCCCCCCCCCCCCCCCAAAAAAATAAAACATGCTTAAAATCGCTTTAAACTATTGTCATTGTAGTGCGTAGTTCATGTGGCGCTACATTTTGATGTTGTAGGAGAAAACATTAAAAAGTCTAATTAAGTAGAACGTGTTGTCTATATTTATTTAAAGTTGCGCATTTTTATGTGACGTCACATTTCACCCCCCCCCCCCCCCCCCTCGTCACAAATGTCTGACCCCCCCCTAGGTGCGTGACGTCATTTATGGACGGCCCCTTAGCTGTCAATCCCTAGTCAGTGCCCTACCTTATCTTATTTTTGCCCATATTGAAACGGCTGCACGCCTAATACGGACCTGAAAACTCAAATTTCCCTGTACAAAAACAGGGAGTACACCGTGTGGGTTGACAATTATGAGATGTTTCTAGATTTGAAGTTTTCGTGACTGCAAGGATTCATACTCTTTGGTTCTTTCGGTAAAGTCACGTGGGTAAAAAATAAAATAAAGAGATAAAAATAGAAATAAAGAATACGTTAATAAAAGTAAATCAAATCACGACGTTTCGATTGTAACACAAGCAATCATCATCAGGTGTGAAAATTACAGCTAGAAAAAACATTTTCTGTGATTTTCACACCTGATGATTGCTTGTGTTCCAATCGAAACGTCGTAATTTAATTTACTTTTATTTAGTTCATCTCTTATTTTTATTTTATGTTTTACCTACGTGACTTTACCGAAAGAACCAAATAGTATAGCTATGAGATTCCCGTATTGTTCATGCAAAGATGGGGAGGGAGAGGCATTTGTCAAGAAGAGACAGTTGTGGAGACTCGCCGTGTAAGAATGTGTGCCTGTGTCCACGCAGGCGGCATGAGTGGGGATCTGGGAAGAGTCTTCGTCACTGTTGGCACCACGTCCTTCGATGAGCTGATTGAGACCGTCTCTTCTGATGGAGCCACGCACGTAAGTTCCACATCAGGGTTCGGCTACGTACGGGGCGAAATAAGTTCGACTGTACGGGGACGAACGAGTTAGAGTCCAGAGGTCTGTTCGTAAGTCCAACTTTACTCCTTTCGATTTCAAACGTGTTGTACGGCATGTACACTAGACACGGGGAATGGCTTTAAAAGTTGCATAATCTCCTGTAGTTGTAGATGCCACTGGTTCTTCACGTTCTGGAGATGTAGACGCCACTGGTTCTTGACGTTCTGTAGATGTAGATGCCACTGGTTCTTCACATTCTGCAGATGTAGATGCCACTGGTTCTTCACGTTCTGCAGATGTAGATGCTACTGGTTCTTCACGTTCTGTAGATGGAGATGCCACTGGTTCTTCATGTTCTGCAGATGTAGATACCACTGGTTCTTCACGTTCTGCAGATGTAGATGCCACTGGTTCTTCACGTTCTGTAGATGTAGATGCCACTGGTTCTTCACGTTCTGTAGATGTAGATGCCACTGGTTCTTCACGTTCTGCAGATGTAGATGCCACTGGTTCTTTACGTTCTGCAGATGTAGATGCCACTGGTTCATTACGTTCTGCAGATGTAGATGCCACTGGTTCTTCACGTTCTGCAGATGTAGATGCCACTGGTTCTTCACATTCTGCAGATGTAGATGCCACTGGTTCTTTACGTTCTGTAGATGTAGATGCCACTGGTTCTTCACATTCTGCAGATGTAGATGCCACTGGTTCTTCATGTTCTGCAGATGTAGATGCCACTGGTTCTTCACGTTCTGTAGATGTAGATGCCACTGGTTCTTCACGTTCTGCAGATGTAGATGCCACTGGTTCTTCACGTTCTGCAGATGTAGATGCCACTGGTTCTTGACGTTCTGCAAATGTAGATGCCACCACGACCATCTATTGCGCGGCGGTTAAAATTACGACTCTCGGTCTGAACAGGAAACTGGACATACGGACAGCTTTATTCTTATCGTAAGTCGCGTTTTCGCAAGTAGAGGAGTCCCTGTACATACACCATTGTATGCACACTACGACACGTGACATGTGCAGCTCGACCTTAAAATACCGGATAATATATTTTCGTATCAAGACCCCGTTATATCCATGTAGCCCATTTATAGCCGTGCAATGTTAATTAAATGTTAACTACGTTCCTCTTTACGTCGTCAAATATATCAAGTTCAAAGTTACGAAAAAAACAACCATTAAAACCATCAAAAAATCACGAGCCCATTCTGGAACCCACATTTCAGTGCTGCAGTAGTTAGTGCGCGGCACGGCGCTGAACTGGGACTCCGCTGGTACGCGACGCTTCCGCGCAGCGTGGAGATGCAGCTAACAGCACGTCAGCAATGCTTTGCACGCTGTTAATATGTTGAGCTTTGGGAGTGTGATTCTTTTTCGTTAATGCAATTTTGAATATTTAGAGGTCCTGCCAAATATCCCTCCTGTTTTATATATGGGACACTGCACATCCGGCCACGATATTTGAGAGGACACAACTGCATGGACGTATGTTGAACTTCTTTTGCGCCGTACGTAGCCAACCTTGCTAATCGGTGGTGCGGAGCAAGGACAACAAACTAAACACAAAAATCAATTTGAGTTTTCAATCTAGATTTAAAAGTGCATAGCTCCAGCGGCTTCCTATTATCGGAAGGAAGAGCGTTCCAGGCGGCCGCAGAAGCGCATCCGAAAGGGCGCGTTGCGGTGACCGTCTCCGTTCAATGGCCAACCCAAAAGCCGCTGCTGCTGCTACGAGGATTGACCGGAGGTCACGTGACGGTTTATGTTCCTTGACGAGACTGTGGTGCGGAATTTCCGCCACCGCCTGAAAATCGCCAAGAGGCACGCGCACGCGAGCACTTTCAAAGACACCGTACGTGTTCGGTACTGGGAGCACTCTGACCGCGACACTGTTGAATCGTCGTTGACCCCCCCCCCCCCCCCCCCCCCCCCACTTGTGTCGGCAGGTGTTGAGGTCGCTGGGCTACTCGGAGTTGGTGCTGCAGGTGGGTCGGGGAGCGCTCCTGCCGGAACCCGACACGCGCCCAGGGTTCCGCTTGAGCGCGTTCCGCTACAAGGATTCCCTGGCCGAGGATATGCAGGCCGCCTCGCTCGTCATCAGCCACGCCGGTGAGCGGGATTCTTACGCGTTGTTGACGTCGCTTGTCTCCCACGTTATACGGTGGTCCCTCGGTTTACGATGCCATCGGTAACGGTATTTCGATGAACGATCCAGCTCCCGTAGGGTCCCCCCGTTGTTTCTGTTAGCGATACATTTTCGATTAACGATACGTTCACGATATCGCGCGGCCACCGATTTCAGCTGATCGGAGTGCTCCTGAGTAGACTTAGCAGACCTCAGCCAATCAGCGACGCCCTTTTATGAGAGTTTTGAGAGCAACTGGCTGCTAGCTTTTATAAATGGTTGATGTGCGTTGCTTATGGAAACAGCTCTCTTGAATACTATGGAACCAATTAACATCGTTTACCGCACATACTTGTTGGTGAACATGCAAACAAAAACATGCTCTGGTAGTATATGATGTATTGTCTTTGAAACTGATTGGTCCACACCAGAGACAGCTTTCTTTAGAGCCCAGTCTCAAACGGTGTCAGACCAGAGGATGCCAAAAGGCGAACGACACAAAGACAATGCCACTCTCAGTTCGTAGCAGAGGTCGCAACCGGGTACCCGATACCCGTACCCTACCCGATACCCGGCTACCCGTACCCAGCCGGGTACGGGTAGCTGTTTGTGACCCTGGTGCGGCCGGATACGGGTACGGGTAGGCCGTGAGTCACTGGTGAGTAAGCGTTTGTCATTCATTTCGGGTAGGGTACGGGTACGGGTAGGGAACGAGTACCCGTACCTGGCCGGGTACGGGTACGGGTACCCATTTGCGACCCTGGTGCGGCCGGGTACGGGTACGGGTAAGGAATCAAAACCTGTTTGCGACCTCTGGTTCGTAGGTCGTGGGTCCGATTCGACCTCCACGACCGTGATTGTTGCAACGATGGGAAAGTTTCTAGTAACCTCCCCCGCCCCCACCCCCGCCCCTGTTCACGCAGCAGTAATAACGGCTGCCACCGCAGGCGATGGGCAGGTCGTGCGTGGTGGCGGTACAGCGTGGATACTCCCACCGCTTTCAACAACATGTCTGGCTAGCGTGGATGAGTAGGCCAAATGCCTTCTAGAGCGGCTCTCTAGAGCTCCAGTGCAGGCCCTTCTACCCAGAGCGGCATCAGAATCAGAAATATGCATTTCTACTGGAGGAATCGGACAAGCGATAAAGCTCTCTTACACGGATGTCCATTCGAGCAAGACATTACATTGCTGCACCTTCAGCGTTTGAATCTCTCATCGTCACAGTTTGTTATTCATACTGCGCCTCCCGTGGCGTGGATTTCGAGGTGCCGGAAGAAAGGGGTATTATTTTATATATATATACACCACGACAGTCACTCAGCAAGGAAGTGATTCCAGACCAAATATACTGTAGGAAAGTCAAGCAGTGTAGACAATACACTCGGGAGGCAAACAAAATCGGCGACGCGTCACGACACGAAGGAGAGTTTCCATTCAGAACTCCGCAGCCGGCGGCAGCAAGAGGCCGGCCACGGTGGATGACGTTACAGAGACGCTTCCGAAGTCACTTCGTTAGACCACCCGCCTCTTTACTATTAACGCTCGGAGCATTTTACCGCGCGCACGGCATTTGCCGCGACAAGAAAGGTTTTGCCGTACGTCGATCGAACCAAAGACTTTCATCTTTTGAGTTGGAATTTAGCCAATTCAAGTTGAAGAAATTTTACGAGATGACTCTTTTGTGCATTCGTTGGTGAGCTGAGCTTTGGCCATCAACTTGCTACAAATGGGAACTTGGATCTGAACAGTTCTATCTCAGCGCTCTGATCCTGTTGTAGCAAGTAATCTATGTCTGTATGTATGTTGAACTTATAGTAATAGGTTTTTACCCTTTCAACTGGTACAAAATCTGACACCTTTATACAAGGCATCATGTTTGCAATAACCTCAACACAAGAAGTCAAAATGCAAACAAAAAGAAACAACTCTGATGATAATGATATGCACTGTCCTTGAAGTTGGACCAATCAACTTCGCTGGTAAAGGAGGTCTCATAGTGTATGTTTAACTTCTTACACACCATACGTAGACAACCGTGCTAACCAGACGTGCGGGGGAAGGACAGCGAATTAAACACTAGAAGGAGTTCTCAAGAAATGAGTGCATCAATCGAGCTGATTTCAAAGTGCACAGCTCCGGTGCCTTCCTAATATTGGAAGGAAGAGCGTTCCAGACGGCCGCAGAAGCGCATCTGTAAGAGCGCGATGCAGCGACCGTCGTTGTTTGATGGCCAGCCAAAAGCGCTGCTGCTGCTGCTACTGCTGCTGCTGCTACTGCTGCTGCTACTGCTGCTGCTACTGCTGCTACTGCTGCTGCTACTGCTGCTGCTACTGCTGCTGCTACTGCTGCTGCGACAATGACCGGCGTTTGCGTGATTGGTTTACGATTAGAGGACACCTCCGATCTGGTGTTGGGCAGGCAGTCCTGAGTCACAGATGCCACCGTCAATCAGGCCCGTAGTGGCACGGGGAGGAGGGGGCTGTATGGGGCTGAGCCGCCAAGGCAAGGCAAAACACGGTGGTACAATATTCACAGGGAGCGAGAGCAGAATGCATGTTAGACAAAAGCCGATCGCATCCAGTTGCTCATCCCGCTGCGTGTTTAACACTCGTCCCACGTTTGTTTAACATTGACCGTGTCGTGCCCACCCTGAGTGTGTGGATGCGCCCCCACTTTAAACGAGGTTACTGCTGCAGGGTTGGTGGTGGGAGGCCGCTCATTTTTCTCGACTACCCCCGCAGTCTACCTTCTCCCACCCACCCGCAGCTCTCCGTGCTGTTGATTCCCTGCTCCTGTTCAAGCCCAGGCTTAAGACCTGCTTCCTGTTTTCCTCTGCCTATTAATAATGCCCCCACACGCCCACCGCCCCCCCCAGACTTTAAACAAGGTCGCGCTCCAGGGTTGCCACCCGTACAGGAGTCTGCAACGGCGTGAAACGCGCGCAGGCCAGTCTGCGACAAACGCGGGGGCCCTTTTTTTTACGCGTGCAGGTGCAGGAAGCTGCCTGGAGGCCCTGGGGTGTTCAAAGCCTCTGGTGGTCGTCATCAACGAGAAGCTCATGGACAATCACCAGCTGGAGTTGGCCATGCAGCTGCAGGAGGACGGCCACCTCTTCTCCTGCACGTGCAGGTGGGGGCTCCCCCCCCCCCCCACTCCTTCCGATCGCTCGCGCACCGCGCTTCGATGAGCGATGCGGCGTTTGGCACGGCGCAAGGTGCGAGCGAGCACAGCTCTGCGGAGCCACTTGAAGGGACGCCGCCGTATCGCGTGCGGTTTTTGCCAGAGGTCGCAACCGGGTACCCGATACCCGTACCCTACCCGATACCCGGCTACCCGTACCAGGCCGGGTACGGGTACCCGTTTGCGACCCTGGTGCGGCCGGGTACGGGTACGGGTAGGCCGTGAGTCACTGGTGAGTCACCGTTTGTCACTCATTTCCCAACATCTTGTCTCTTCTCACAATTCAAGTTCCTAGAATCAACCCACCCGCGCCTGCAACATGGCTTCATCCCAGAGGTCGCAATCGGGTACCTGATACCCGTACCCTACCCGATACCCAGCCGGGTACGGGTAGCCGGGTATCGGGTAGGGTACGGGTACCCGTTTGCGATCCTGGTGCGGCCGGGTACGGGTACGGGTAAGGAATCAAAACCCGTTTGCGACCTCTGGTTTTTGCCGACCTCGCCGAGCCTCGGGATGTTTTCGGGAGCGCCCCCCCCCCCCCCCCCCCCCCCCCCGCGTTCGAGATTTGTGGCCATGATTAACCAAGAGTGTTTTTCTGTGGGAGTGATGTACGTATGTATATGGATGTATGTTGAACTTCTTTCGTTCGCGCCGTACATAGCCAACCGTGCTGATCGAAGGTGTGGTGGGGAAGGAACAACAAACTAAACACCAAAGCAGATCTAAAGAAATGAGTTTGTCAATCTCGAAGATTTAAACGTGCACAGCACAAGTGGCTTCCTAATAGCGTAAAGAAGAGCGTTCCAGACGGCCGCAGAAGCGCATCCGAAAGCGCGCGATGCGGTGACCGTCTTCGTTCGATGGCGAGCCAAAAGCCGCTGCTGCGAGGATGACCGCTGGGATTCAAAATGATCTACAGGGTTAAGAGGGTTAAAAAAATTGCCAGCGCGCTGCCTGAATCAGTCGGGCTGGCAAACACGTGACTGTAAAACGTAAAGGTGCAGCGGTGCGATTTCCTGCATCTATTGTGCCGAACCTGTTGGCGCGCGCGTGGAAAAATACGCACACGCTCTAAGCGAGCGGACCGACCTCATACGTTCCGGTCAGCGACGCGCTCGCCATACTCACCTCCCTCCCATAGGCACCTCGCCGCTTGCAAACGTGGAAAGTATGAACAAGAACTGGCAAAGCGAAAATTGAAGCCACCATCTGGTGCCTTGTACGAAAAGGCCCTCCCCCCCCCCCCCGGTATCTAAGACAAACAGTAAACAGTGCTAATGATCCGTTCATCATCATCATCTCATTCCTATTTTAGGCAAAGGAAACTTCGCATTCGGGTTTTAAAAAAACACGCAAATTGCACGTGCTAATGTTCAAACGGCGTGCAGGACGTTTCTGAAAAGTGTTTTGCTTGTCGTGGTTTTTTTGTTGCCGTGCACAGGTTATTTTTTTCGCCCGTCGCTAATGAGGCGGATGCATCGTGAGATAATTGACTCCAACGAGCCAGGCACAGAGTGGTCAAAAAAGCGACATAACAGAATGAAAGGGGCATTATGCGGGCGGTTTTGAGTTCGAGGCAGTGAGTGAGTAGTCTGCCCCACATCCATCCACGTTACCTTCCCTTCCTTCCACTGCAGCAGCTGCAACACTGGCTAATCGGTCTAAGGACAGGGGTTCGGCAAATCAAAATAACAAAAAGAGCCGTTTTTAGTTCGAATTCGTTAAAACGAACTCGACGCATTTCAAGAGCCGCGATGCACGCGAGTACGAGACGGTCCTCCTTATTAAATGACGTCACGAAATGGTCCTCGGAAAGCCACGTGCGGCTCAGGATACGCAGGCTGCCGACCGCTGGTCTAGGCCGCTAAAGTCAACCCAGGCCGCTAAAGTCAACCCAGGCGAGGCTGATAGTTGGTCGAGGTGAGGCTCGCACCAGGAATTTATTTCGGGCGAAGTTGATCTAGGGGCAGTGTACTAAAAATACAATTGCCAAAACCCAAGTGCTTCCACTCCACAATCAACTCTTCCCACAGCCCCGAAGCCAGTGGTGGAAATTCCACGCTCTAATGGAGTGGGCCAGACTTATTGTGATGGCCACTGATGACTTCCTACAATGCGGCGCCAATATCTGCCGTCGAGGCAAAAGCTGTCAAAATCTGGAGATCGAGAGTCAAACGCTGTAATCACGCGCAGCCTTTCTCGATCCACCGCTGGATCAAGACCTTCCTCGTGGCTGGTCGCCCATCGGGGGTTGTTGAACAATCACCACCGCGCGGGGTCAGTGTGGGTTGGTGAAGGGAGGGGAGGTCCAGGATCAGTTGAGGTGTCACTTGATTGTTGTTAAGTGTCACCGGATATCAAATTCAGTTCACTGGCTTCGTACAGCAGTGCCCTAAGCACTGCGGCCACCACACCACCCACTTCGCCTATCAATGTCCGTATCCCATAATATTCTACATGTGCTGTCACTCCTTGAGACCCCCCCCTCCCCCCGATTAGGTAACTCAGTTCTTGCCAACATCGCCCTGGGAATTCCACCAGCCTGTTCCAGAAAGACGTTCACTACTTGAGCATATTGACGAGATGTGCAGTGGACACCTCATGGGCTATCTGCCCGTGGATCTTGATGATGGCGGTGATGGTGACACTGTTTCAATTTCTGGCTGAGCAGACCCTAGGTTGGAGTTGCCCTTTGATTACCACTGAGGCTGCGATTTACCGCGCTCGTTCCCGTTACCTCCCGGTCACTGCACCGCCGCGTCGTGCTGACGGGCGGGGGTTTACGCGGTGGAGTCAGCCGTGCGTAAATGTTGATGAGGTAGGAGGAAAAGGGACTTGTGTGGTGGCTCAAGGCTTGAGCAGGCGTGCGACGCTTCAAGCTTAACGAACAAAAAGGAATGACGCATTAATGGGCCCAAGTGTCTTGCGTAGGTTTATTAAAATGTTATATATAGAGTGAACGCTGACTGCATTGGCTTTCATCCACAATTCAATTACAAACCCTACTGGGGACAGGGGTGGGGGCGCGGATATGCCTCATTGTCTTAATATTTTATTAGAAATTTACCCAAAGGCCATTATTCAAAATGTTAGCCACTGCCACATACCAACCCTCACGATTTTCAAAGCCAAATACCAAACCCGACTGATTTAAGGGCCAGGCTTGTTGATTCTATTGTTGTTGTTTAACCCCTTTTACCACAGACCTATTGTTGAAAACATAAATGTAGTCAAAAATGTTACGAAGCTCTACGGCTGCCCTTTCAAATTCATCTGCGCGGTAAGAAGGTTGAAATATCGCCAGCTCGCTGCTTAAAATCAGTCGGGCTGGCACACACGCCGCTGTGAAACGTGAAGGCGCAGCGCTGCGACCTCCAGCTCGCGACGCCGCTGGCCTAAGAGCCTCCACTGGATCGTCCGCCTTGAGAGGCCATGTGAGCTGCCTCCTCTTCCACGCGAGACAGGAATCTTGGAAGAGGGGTGGGAGATTGGAGCAGCGCGCATCTTGTACAGCCATTCTAAGTACCTGGACAAGATTGCTCGGAGATTGCTGTTTCGTAACTTATTATTAAGATATAAAAGTGGCGTTAATGACAATGCCAAGGGGCGAGTTCAATCTCACCGCACCGTGGCGAGATGTTAACTACCTCGCCTGGTATTCAGGAGTTCGTTGGTTCAATCCAGACCCTGATGCCGACTGTATATCTGGAGTTTGCGTGTCTCTCTCCCCGTGGTCACATACATTTTTATTTGGGTTCTCCGGTTTTTCCCTCCACATTTAGAATCAACATGCGTTTAGAGTAATTGGCTGCTGTAGATTTCCACGTGATAAGCCATTGCGTTGAGCTATCATTTGTGGCCAAGTCGCTTCTGAAAAAGAGCTATACAGCTCAGTGGACCTTACCTGCTAAAATAAAAAAGTTTAATTTAACAAATCTCTGTCGCCGTTTCTCCTCTGCCTCGCAGCACCCTTGTGCAGACTCTACGCGAGATGGATCTCAAGACGCTGAAACCGTTCCCTCCAGGCCAGCCGGAGAAGTTTGCGCAGTTCCTGGACGAAGTGATGGGCTTCACATGACAGGCAAAGAAGCGATTCGGTGGATCCGCAGCGCAAACGCTCGTCAGCCCTGTCATCACCCCCCGACGTGTCCTTGTAAACGCTGCGCGTTCGTGCAGCACAACCGTGAAAAAAAAACCGCTGATGGGAAACTCGTCGCCGTCGCCTTGCACATCCACGCTCGGTGGCGGTCGCGAGGTTTTCACCATTGTAAAATTGGTCGGCTTTGGTAAATACGGGTCGTGGCGAGGCGATCCATTTGTTGAAAACCCCATGAAAGTAAAAGGGAGAAATTTACAGAAAAGCGTTTTTATTTCAAAACCTAAACACACCTGCCGCCAATCTCAACATACCGATGAAAATGTTACTCTCCACTCGAAGATACGGAGTCAACCCTTGCAGCAAGTCATTAGAAATCAGTGGGGTATATATAAATGGATCACCCCTGCCTCGTATGGTAATGGGGACCGTCGTTATACGATGAATGTGCTATCTGGCAGGCAGATGTGAGCACATGACACCCGAGTTTGACGTAAGCGAGAGAGATTCATTGCATCTTACCTGTTATATTGATCCCAATGGCTACACATAAAAACAGAAAATACCTGTTTAATCTTGGAGAATTCACTCTTTTTAAATACTTTATATTAAGTTCACTTGCGTGCTTGCTTGCGCGCTTACGACCGTGCAAATCTTTCGGTCGTTTTTAACCCACTTCCCGTGATCCAATCGAGCTGACATTTTGCACACAGACTCGTGAAAAAAAAATTCAAAAATTTTACACTTTTTAGGAAAAAATAAATTATATTTAATTACCAATTGCTTAATGGTGGCAGGCAATCATCTGACCCATAGGTGGCAGCCATCTCAAGCCAGAGGACGAGAGGACTCTAGCCGCCACGCATATAAAGGATTTATAGTGAAAAACTTTGTTTTTACGGGTTAATTTTTTGCTGCTGATCCAAACACCACAGGAGTGCCCTCATCTGCAATTGCACCCAAAGCACCATCTCTACCAGCACGGCCATGTGACTCCAACCTCGAACAGGGCCACTTCCTAAAAATGTGCGACCTCACAAGCGTCTCCTCCTCCTTTTCCCAATGTCAGCTGATCTATGACGATAACGAGTTGCTTCAGTCAGTGAGTTGGCTCCAGCTGATATTTTGGCCCATTGAGAATGAACTTGTGATCTTGGGAGCTCTTGCACCTCGATCCTTAATGCCTCTCCTGGGCTTAAAGCTCACGTAATATCAGTGCTGGACATTGGAGGCAGGCAGGCCTGTCTAACGCAACTTGCCGCTTATGTAAGATTCATGCCTGGACAGGAAGTTGTTCCTGCGATTGGAAACATTTCGAAAAAGCAGATTAAAATTCACCGTATATGGGCAGGGCCTCTGTGATCCCCTCTGACTTTTCTCCAGTGCTGACTCTCAAACGCATCTCCTTGAAGAAGGGACCAGCTGCATTTTAAAATCCTTTATATGAAGTTCACTTGCTTGCTTGCTTAGGACTGTGCAAATCTTTCGATCGTTTTTTAACCCACTTCCCGTGATCCAATCGAGCTGACATTTTGCACACAGACTCGTTGTGCGTGACAATGAATTTCGTGAAAAAAAATTTTTTCCAAAATTTGTCACCGTTTAGGGAATTTTTTTTTTAATATTTAATTACCAATTGCTTAATGCTGGCAGACAATCATCTGACCCATAGGTGGCAGCCATCTCAAGCCAGAGGACGAGAGGACTCTAGCCGCCACGCATATAAAGGATTTATAGTGAAAAACTTTGTTTTTACGGGTTAATTTTTAAATCCTTTATTCACCTTCAACTGCAATCTGCCAGTTTCCTCTGTGCCACGCGCAATGCTGGGACCTCCTGTTTCAATTCGTCCAGTCAGCGCTCCCCCCATTCCACCTCGATGTCCCCTTGCATGAGAAACGCTCCTGGGTTTTACTCCAAGCTTTGTAACGCCACCGGGAATCTCTTTTTGCCGTGCCTCTAAAATAAGCCTCCCAAGAAAGCCGTGAAAAATAAACAATGCAAAGTTGAGATTTTTTTTATTTTAAAGCAGTTTATTTGCAAAAGTTCATCAAAACATTTACATTGACATTTCTCACACTGCTGGATACAAGGAGTTGCAGTTGTCAGGAGCAGATGGTAAGCAGTGTTTTACTTACAGCACTAAGGAGTTCTGCTATGGAATCACCAAAAATGATGAGCGAAACCAGCCTTATTTTTTATTCTTTAGCCAAAATAGTTCATCTTCTTAAAAAAAGACCTCTCGTAAAACGAAAAACAAATCAGTTAGTGTTACTTGTGTCAAAATGTAACATTTAAAGACAGTAGTGTATTTGTTTAATATTGTTTACAAAAATTTTCAAAGGAAAAAAGCTGTAAGCGCTTCATTTAAAAGAAATAAATGTTTTAGTACACGTTCCATTTATAAACGTTAAGCTGATTGTAATGCAAGGCAGAGAAATACATGATAGGCAATTATTGTACATTATAGAGAATGACGTCTCGAGGCGTATCGATGTAGTAACACCATCGTGAATTGAAAATAACCAAAGTCGAAAAGATGAATCATGGTGACAGTCTCCTAAACAACGCTTCTGCTTTCAAACTTATGTACAATGTTTTTAACCACAATTTGTTTCAAATCTTAAAACTACATATGCCGTGTATTTTTTTTCCTTCAATAGTCAGCCAATTCTGAGAGTCTACAATAAAGAATTAGCGTTATTTTAAAAAAAGCACGGGAGACTCAAAAATAAAAATCAGAAAAATACTGTAATGCACCGTTAACGTTAATTGAGCATTAGAGGTTTGCAGATTTCCGCAGCAGAATAAGGAATCGATGCATGGCAATGCGTTTCACAATACGTCAAAAGAATGCGACATTTAAAAACTTGTCACATTCGCCGCTCTGCTTTTATCCGTCTACCACCAACGCAGGGAACCTATCTATGAACGGTCTGATGCACGCGCGCACACACACACACACGCGCACATCTACAATACAAAACGCTCCGTAATAGAGTAATATAACTACTGCAAGCTGTACACAAATTTTACTGTTATAATCCAATTACCCCAATTCAACCCACACCCTCCCCAGTCCCCCTTTTAACGTTCATATTTCTCCAACAGGGACACACACGGCATACAAACAGCCTTACGAATGTGGTTTAAAAAAAATGACAATAAAAAAAAACTTTAAAAAACACAATCTTGGCTACAAGCTCACACCTGTCATGTGACTCGCATCGGATGGTAAAAAAAAAGCCACAGGCTTGGCTTTTACCAATGTAACGCAAACTGCACGTTAACTAGACACCACAATTTGTCTGCAGACGTAAAAAAAACGAAAGCCCAATACCTCCTCGCTTGCACAAAGCCTTCGGTTTCTCGTGTAATGTGAACTTAAAAACACGGCACGTGCGCTTGTAAACAAAGTCACTTAAAACAAAAACTACTTGGGATAATTCAACACGTGCGTTGGAGCCCAGATCTGTTTTTGCCTTGCCCACCCCTCCCCCACCCCTCCCCTCCCCATCATCCCAAAACCTTCCCCTTTCATGGTCCTGCAGTCAGACAAATAAAAAAACTGGCGTATGAACTTAAGCCAATCGAATTATTTCATTGAACTTCAATCTCTTTTTTTAACCAAAGCCGCCCAAAGACTTCAGAACCCAGGCAATTGCGCAGTTGGCAAAAAAAACAGACTGCAAGTTAATCCTGGAAGCAAAACACACAGACCACTGCTTCTAGGAAGCAACCTTATGACAATAATTATGATCCAAAAAGCAATTAACTCCAAATCGGCAAATCCTTTCCATTGGATACCAATTATAATTTTTTTTTTACAACAATTGTGTTACTCTAACTTTTCTCAACCTCGGAAGGCGTTTGCAACTGCAGCCTAGTTGAAAGGCAACGCAACTTTTTTTTTCCACCCCACAGTACCTCTTTTTTGCCAGGGTGGCGTTTGGCAATGCCCTTGGGTTCTTTAGGATCTGTCGCAAGGCTGTTAAAGGTCCACACGTTTTATCAACGCAAAAGCTGCACCGGTCTTGCAGCAGAGAATCAAGCCGTCAGTGGGTACACAATCTGCCCAAGTGTTCGGAGGCCCTAAAAAGTCATGCACAGCGACTTCTGTAATCGAACAGTCCACTTCTTATTATTCTTCACGCCCTTTTAACTTCATGAAGCGACAAGTTAATACCTGAAGACTCAATGGCCAGGTGAGACGAAGCTGCGGTCTTGTGTGGACACGTCAAGGCTCGTATGTCAAGGTGGTACAGACCGACGGATCCTTTTCCACCAGCATTTGAGGGCGCTTGCGACCAACGAGTGTTGTAAGCGGAAAAGGATTTGAGAAAAAGGTCGTGAATTAAACGAAGCCGCTTGCAAACGGGGCGCCTGATACGGCCCCAAAACGGAGACATTGAACGGTGGTGGAGGCGAAACATTCATCGCTGAGATTAAACTGCAGCTTGCTTAGTTTACAGCCAGACATCCAAAAACATATCAGATCGGTGATGATACCAAAACAGTGATAACTTGTGCGCTTATGGCAAGAGATGGTTAAAAAAAACCCATGTGATAATAACAGTAATAGAAACTAGGCTACAATAACAATAGACCAATAAAAACGAGAAAAAGAGCGAACACCACAAAGCTTGATTTTGGCAGGTTGTGTGATGAAATAAAAAAACAACAACACGGCAGGCGACTGTGGAGTCTCTTTTGGCTGGCATTGAAAGGTGTCGGGGGGTGGTGGGTGGGTGGGTGGGGGGAAGATGCGGAGTCGCGCTCAGGAGACCGAGGAGATGGGCATGTGTGGGGAGCCCATCTGCGTGAGCACCTTGTCCAGCCACTGCAGGGGTCCGTGCAGGTGAATCTCCACCCAGCAGGGCGTGCTCGTTACATCCTGCCGGTGGTACTCGGCGCCCCACCCCTGGTCACAACGGACGCGGAGGACAAGGTGTGCGCAACGCCGGCGTTAAACGACATTTCCCGTCCCCATGACGTACGCGTACGTCGTCAAAACAAAATCGGGGAAAACAAAACTGAAGTAAAATAACTTCATCGGTCTCGACGCTCCCACAAGGCCATGCGGTTTGGCAGCAGCTATCATAGTGCGATCGTGTCGCTATAGTTCTCTGCAGTGAGTACAATGTCTTTAAAAAATACGTTGCGAAGCCTCTCTAAATAAAATTAACGCTAAGCCGCATGCGCGTTCCAAGATTCAGAGGTGAACGGGGCCACCCCCACCCTGCGACTTGCATAGATCTCAGATTGGGAAAGGGTTAAGGCAACAAAAGTGCCACACTTTGTGGTCCTTTTTATTGTTTTTTATGCCACAAACTAAACTATAAAAACAATTTTTTATTTTACCAGGTAAGGCCCACGGAGCTATATAGCTCGTTTTCAGAAGCGACCTGGCCACAAATTATAGCCCAATGATGTGGCTTATCACGTGGAAATTAATTGCAGCCAAATATTCTAAACGCGTGTCGATTCTAAAATGTGGAGCGAAAAACTGGAAGACCCGAAGAAAAATCCACAAGACCACGGGGAAAACACGCACACTCCAAATATACATGCCAGGGTCGGGATCGAACCCACGACCTCCTTGTGTACCGGGCGAGGTCGTTAACATCTCCTAGCCACCGTGGCACCCAAACAAAGAGACCCGGGTACAAGGCAACTCTGCGGACTAAACATCCCCAACTCAGTACTCTTGGGTCTGAAGATGGGGAGGAGATTGGGCTCACTGCCCGCACACACACGCAGGTGACTATGAAGGGAACATCGGTTTTTACACTTTGTGATAACTGTTTAAAGTCTACGGAGCCCAGAGCACGGAGGAAAATTTGAAAACCGATAACAGCAGTCGTGCGTACAGCCAGGTGTCGCAACGGTGTGGGGCAGCAAAGTTTTTTATTTTACAGAAGCAGATTTCAACTCCCGCAGCCATGCCCATTACTTTTTTTGATAAACGAAAGGAAACCCGCTTATTTTTTATTGTTGTGTTTTTTTTAAAGATGCAACCCCAAAAAAACTATCTTGTAAATGCATCCTGAAGCGACATGTCCCCTAGACTATTAAAATCAAACGAAAGCTTCCTTAACGAAAAAAACCAAGACTTTAAAGTTGACAGATAAGCATTTTTTCCCCCAATAAATTCTAACTTTGCTCAACACAAGAAATGTATCAACTCTTATCGATACGACACGATCGATCGTGCGCTGCCGCTTGATGATGCCGGTTGCAATAACTGGCGAAACGTCAGACTCGGATTGTAAATGTTGTGGCTTTACTCACCAACACACCGGTTAGAGCTGTACTAGTATACTACACTATATACTACTATACACTACACTATACACTAGTGCTGTACTAGTAACAAATTGACATGTTCTGTTTACGTAACAAGCCCCTTACTAATTTGGCTGTGTCAGGTGGTGGCGGCGGGTTTAACGACACATTTATATTTACACGATCTAACCCAAAAAAAAACCTACGTTATGAAAATCTACGTGTTAAACAGCAGAAAAAGTACTCTATGCGGAAGGGGTCTGGGCGGCTCACCTTGACGAAGCTCATGCGGATGATGCACATCTTGGTGAGCTCGTAGACGGCCTCGAAGCCGTGGTTCACAGACTCGGCCAGCAGGCCCGCAAACTCCTGGTTGTTGAAGATCTTGAGGCTGCAGCCGCTGGGGATCTTGCACACGGTGGTCGGGTGGAAACCGTGGTGGTAGTTGCAGTTGCGGCTCTGCACGAAGATGCTGCTGTCACTCAGGCACTCGGCGAACACCTCCCCACCCACGTAGTACAGGTGCACGCCTGTCACGCGATGGGGGTACACGAAGAGGGGGGGGGGGCAGTGAGCGATCGAGTATTCACAGTCCTTGAGTCACTAGTCTTGGAGTCGGCAACCTGCGATTAGCACGGTTAGCTACGTACGGTTATGAAAAACGTTCAACATACGTACATACAACCTGTGTCTCCCGGAGCCGCATGCAGCTCTTTAATGACTGCTTCGTGATGTTATTTGTTTCAAGCACCACCGTCTCCCGTCATCACATGCATTGAGTCTCTTGAAATAGTTTTTTTTTTTACCGAACTCGAAAAAAATGGCTCTCGTTTATTTCGGTTGTAGACCCCATGCACTCAGTCATTCAAGAATCGATTTCGGTTGTCTTGTTTGCAAGTACAGGCAAGGCACAAGAGGAATCGATTCTTGTGAGCTCATACCGTAGTAACACCTGGCCAGGCCTGATCCAGGCCAGGCATGGGGGTGTCCGCACCAGATGCACGGACTGTTGCAAGTGACTGGTTGGGGTGGAGAGCGCTCTGGTCTATTGCCGGTTAATCGCAACAGTAGTTGCACCGTCTAATTTGTACACTTTATTCTCGGCACTGGAATACGCTCACTATTTAGGTGAAACCCAAATTTAAAATGTTTGTATTTCGCAGTCATTGATAACTCCAGGCCAAGACCATCAACTTGCCACAGTTAAGTCATGGGTGGCAACGTGGATTCAAACCCTGGCATCTCGGTCGGAATGCGCAGGGGACCCGAGTCACAAACTGCAATTAACATTCCGACTGCGCCAAGTCACGTGTTTTTGCATCGAGTTTGTTGTTGTAACGTTCCGACCCCCCTGAGTGGACATCCGTGAAAAAGCGCTTTTTAGCTCATCAGATTCCTCCAGTAAAAATAAAACATTCAAATTAAAATTCTGACGTCACGAGTCAAAAGGAGCTTTCCCAACTTAACAAACGAGCTCTGCACCGGCAGCACTGTCAGAGAGCAGGCAACGTGGCGCGTCGCGACGTACCCTTGCCGATGTGCCGACGTGTGTTCTCGATGGTCGAGTTGCGGTTGACGTGCGACAGGAGGCCCAGGCAGAAGCGGTTCTTGTTGTTGGAGGGGTCGGTGAAGCCGTCGACCAGCACGCTGGTGGACGAGGCGTGGAAGGCCTCGCCCACGCGGTTCGTCAGCTCGTAGTACACGATGGAGCACCAGTGCTTGGGCTCCTCGTACGTCACGGGCTGCCGGTCTACGAGCGTCACAAAAGGAGAAGAGGTTTTCACTTGGAGTGAACAATTGCACCACCTCGCCGTGCTGGGTAACAATGGGCCCCTGATCAGTAAAAAATTAACCCGTAAAAACAAAGTTTTTCACTATAAATCCTTTATATGCGTGGCGGCTAGGGTCCTCTCGTCCTCTGGCTTGAGATGGCTGCCACCTATGTGTCAGATGATTGCCTGCCACCATTAAGCAATTGGTAATTAAATATAATTTATTTCTTCCTAAAATGTTGAAAATTTTGGAAAAAATTTTCACGAAAATGCATTGTCACGCACAACGAGTCTGTGTGCAAAATGTCAGCTCGATTGGATCACGGGAAGTGGGTTAGAAAACGACCGAAAGATTTGCACGGTCGTAAGCGCGCAAGCAAGCAAGCAAACTTAATATAAAGGATTTAAAAACAAAACTCATGAAGTCCCCTAAAAAGGTCTTTTATCTGCACGAGTACATCCACACTTATAAACTCGATTCTGTGCTATATCCTCCCAGTAGCGGCTTTTGGCTCACCATTGAGTAAAGACGGGCACTGCATCGAGAGCGTTCAGACGCGCTTCTGCGGCCTTCTGGAACGCTCTTCCTTCCGATATTAGGAAGCCACCAGAGCTATGCACTTCTAAATCATCAACATTGAAAACTCATTTCTTGAGAATGAATTTTTGTGTTTAGTTTATTGTCCTTCCCCCGCACCTCCGATTAGCAGAGTTAACTACATGAAGTGCGAAAGAGGTTCACCATACATACGTACATAGGGAGGTTTATATATATATATGCAAACTTTTATTTAACCATATACCACCACGCGAGTAAGGGCACATTGGTGAAGATGGGGATGCACTGATACGGGACCAGAGAAGTACAGTTCAACAATTGAGTTTGCTGCAGCACCCTCTGCTGACCATCATGTGCCACAAAGACAAAGATCCCCCGTATATAGCCTTAGCAGACTGTTCGGGGAAAGTGCTGTTATAGCAAGCACCGATAAAAGCTGACATGGGTGGCCAGCACCACACCCTGCCGCCTTTCTCTCCTCAGTGGTGACATTTACACACTGCACCAGGTACTCATTTGAGGCCGAGTCGACCTAGGGGAGGCCCAGGACTGATCCAAACAATCGTCACTGGTGTTGGCCGTGAGCGGGAATCGAACTCGCGTCACTGGGTTTCGCAGCGCAGCGTAGCGCTAAACGCTGCACTACCGCTCCCCGCCATGTACCACAGCGGCACGTACGATCCAGGCTGAACTCTGCTGAGAAGAGATCACCCACACTGCGGATAATGGGCGTGCGTGCGGAGGACCAAGACATTTCCATTCAGAGGTGGCGTCCGCGAGCAGTGCACACCCACCACGTGTGCGAGAACACTCCCCAGAAGATGAAGTGACACTTCAAAAGACCTCTCTTATCTGTGTTTTTATTAGGCCGTGGTTGGTTCAGTGTTCCCCCTCCACAGTTGTCCTAAGCCAATTTGTTTACATTTCATCACATTGTGCAATTTTCTCCACTGCGTCAACTTGCCAAAATGTGTCACTTTGACCTCCTGAAGTGATTTCTTGCATATTTAACGATTAAAAAGTGCAATTCGCGTTATTGTATTAACCTTATTTTACGAAAAAAAATATTGTCACGTTTAGAGTAGATTTGTTAAATCTAAACAAAAAGATATTACGTTTACTTAAAAACTATTTTTTTTACGTAACCCAAGTCTACCGTACAAAAAACAACGTTTAAGGTGTCGCAACAGGTTCATGTAATCTCTCGACTCAAATAAAAAAAGACATTGACTGACTAGCGGCAGCATACCTACACACACTTGCATTTCACAAAGACTAATCCCTCTGATGCAACAGCGCTTTAAGTCACAATCAGACATCTGCAAACATCAATATAGGCGGGTAAGGGGCGCGTACCGCCAGTGTTGGGCAAGGTGGGGACCATTGTGGTGCTGGTCTCCATCGATTGACTCCCGTCTTGGCTGTTCTGGTCTTCCGGGGGCACGTACGCAGGAGGTGGCGTGTCCGCTGTACACGCACGCCGCAAAAACCCACCTCCAATAAGCACAGTCGGCTACGTACAGAGCGACAGATGATCAACATACTTGCACACAAACGCGCAAGGAAAACAGGCACAGCATCCGTCAGCTATACTAAACTAAACTTTTGTGTTATTCACCGGGTTAAAGCCCACTTAGCTCTACAGCTCTTTTTCAGAAGCGACCTGGCCACAGATGATAGCTCAACGACGTGGCTTATCGTGTGTAAATTAAATAGCAGGCAAATACTCTTAAACGCATGTCGATTCAAAAATATGGAGGGAAAAACAGGAGAAAATCCACGTGGCCACAGGGAGAACATGCAAACTCCAAATATACAAGCATCAGGATTGGGATCGAACCCACGACCACCTGCATACCACGCGAGGGAGTTAACATTTGGCCACCGCAGTGCCCCAGCCTGGTTTGAGTCAGCAGGCACGTAACCGGTGTTAAAATACGATTCTAATACAGACGACAAGCACCACATCACGTGTGGAGAATGGACGATTAATCATGCGTGCGTATTTTATGCCAAATGTTTCTCCTAGACTCATGCCCAAAACGATTGTGACAAAACTAGATCGTGAAACAAGACAGTATAACCGAGATAAAAGATACAAAAATTAAATAATAATAATTGTGGATGGGTGCAGCAGATCATGTGGTAGAGCGATGGCACATTGGTTCGTGCAGAGCGCTGTGGAACCCTTGCGACCCGCGTTTAATTCGTGGCCACAGATAATATCAGTTACATCTGAACCCATCTTGGGTACCCCCCCACCCTACCCACACCTTCACTCACCTGCACTGACCAGTGTGGTGAAGTATGGTCAAACAGCTGTGGCGAGGCATTAAAACAGCAGTGACTTTATAATAGGCTGCAGATTATTCTATACCAATGATTTCACACGTGTTCCGTATGTAATTAATAGCCAAGGTTGGCCTCACAGATAAACCATCGCCTCCAGTGTGAGGAATTTCCACCACTTGCCGAGGCTCGAAAGAGAAATGATCACGGCCATTTGTAATTGTAGAAGTGAGACGACCCAACTGATATAACAGCAGAGTACTGATTGCGCATGCTCGTGTAGATATAATCAATGGTGTGTGACTTTCAAGTACGTCTATGTACTTAGATGTAGTTTAAGTTTAGACATTTAACAAGAGCAAGAAAACCTTTTCCCAAATAACATAAAAAACTCAAAATATTTGTAAATAGCACTGCCATTAAATAAATACATATTTCCACAAATATTTCTGCGCTTACATGCAACATTCCACCCGTCAATCAGTACAGCGCTGTTCAGTAAACCAGAGTGATTATATTCCACATCAATTAAATCAGTTTAAGTACACTCAGTTCACGCGTATCATGGTGTCCATCGCCACTAGCACGACCAGCTGCTTATCGCTCCATTTAACTCTGATCAGGTTTGTGGAAACACAAAGGTCTCTATCGGTCTACCCAAATCATACCATCCCGAGTTTCACGCAGTTCACAACGGGGAATATGTAAGTGGGACACTATGCTCAATCATCCGAAATCTCAGATCGCAGAAGCCAAGTAGAGTAGGCACTATTTAGGCTCAATGCGACTTTATAGGCTACAAGGTGGGCAGCAAAGGGCAGTGTGGCAGAGGTAATCGCTGTACTGTACTACTATGGTGCGAAAATGTCCAAATGATGGGCCACTTTGTTGAGCTATCATTTGTGGCCAGGTCACTTCTGAAATAGAAGTTAAAAACCTCAATGGGCTTTGCCTGGTAGGATGGTTTAGTTTTATCTTAGTGTCATTTGTTTACCTTTCTTATATTTTGCACTATCATGTTTTTGTATTGTTTGTTGTTGTAACTTTCTTACCCGCCCCGTCTGGACATCTGTGAAAAAGATCTTTATAGCCCATGGATTCCTCCAGTATAAATAAGTATTCTGATTCTAATCTATGCTCCCTGCCTTCACCAACCTACACTGACTATGGTAGTGAAAGCAAAGTCGAATAACTCCCACGACCTGACCCGCATGGCATGACTACTATTCCTACTATTTTTATTATACCAGGTAAGGCCCACTGAGCTCTTTCATTTGGCCAGAAGCGACCTGGCCGCAAATTGATGGCTCAACAAAGCCATCAAATTGAAAGCTCAACAAAGTGGCTTATCACGTGGAAATGTATAGCAGCCAAATACTCTAAACGCATGTTGATTCTAAATATGGAGGGGAAAATCGGAAGAGCCAGAGAAAAATCTTCATGACCACAGAGAGGGAGACATGCGAACTCCAACTATGTGTTGAGTATTTGGCCTCTATAAATTTCCACACAAGCCACTTCATTGACCTATTAATTGTGGCCAGGTCGCTTGTGACAAGGAGCTATATATGGTTCAGTGGGCCTTACCTGGTAAAATAACAAGTATAACCCGTAAAAACAAAGTTTTTCACTATAAATCCTTTATATGCGTGGCGGCTAGAGTCCTCTCGTCCTCTGGCTTGAGATGGCTGCCACCTATGGGTCAGATGATTGCATGGCAGCATTAAGCAATTGGTAATTAAATATAATATTTTTGTCCTAAAAAGTGTAAAATTTTGGAAAAAAATTTTCACGAACATTAATTGTCACGCACAACGAGTCTGTGTGGAAAATGTCAGCTCGAATTGGATCACGGGAAGTGGGTTAAAAAACGACCGAAAGATTTGCACGGTCCTAAGCAAGAAAGCAAGCAAGTGAACTTAATATAAAGGATTTAAAAATAGTAATTGTTAATTTAAAATATACACACATCAGGGATCGAATCCACAACCTCCTGTATACCGGGCGAGGTAGTTAACATCTTGCCACCGTCAGGAGGCCTAAATCTAGCAGCGGATTGACAAAAGGGTTGTACGTGTACATATACACGAGGGAAATGGGTCTCTGGCTTGCATGATAAACTCGTGTGTTAAACAATGTCATCAAGCCAGTGCAGTATTACAAACAAACACCAGCCCCTGGTGCCTTCACGTCGAATGCTATGCCGAGCCACTGCCGTTGGCAAGACAAGCTCGAGGATGTCATGCTTTCTAGGACTTGCTCAGCATCCTTAACATAACAAGATGTTGCCTCACAGCAAACAGCTTGCGCTGGGGGAGTGGGGGCCGCAATATTCTAAACCTCTTTTCTGCGGGAATTGGTGGGAACAGACCGGAAAAATGTGCTCGCAACAATTCATCAGTTCAGGATACTCTGTGGAGCGGGCTCGTGGGACAATGTTCGGAGAACAAGATGAAAAGATGCATCAATGACTAGAAATAAACATTGCATGTCACAAAGACAAAAGTCCCCCCCGCGTATAGCCTGAACAAACTGTTGTGGGGGGGGGGGGGGGGGCAAGTGCAGTTAGCGAGTAGCACCTATGAAGTCCGGCACGACACACGAGAGGGTGGGTGGCCAACACCACGCCCGGCCGCCTTTGTCTCCATAATCTCGATGTTTACACACCGCACCAGGTACTCATTTGAGGCCGAGTCGACCTAAGGGAGGGCCAGGACCAGTTCAGATAAATCTCCACTGGTGTTGGCCGAGAGCGAGAATCGAACTCGGGTCGCCGGGTTTCATAGTGCAGCGGCGCTGACTGCTACACTACCGCTCTCCATATCACCCACACACAGAGACAGCTACCCTCACACCCTTCCACTACCGTTGACAATACAATTCTAGATTTGAAGCTTTCGTGACTGCAAGGATTCATATTCTTGGGTTTTTTCGGTAAAGTCACGTAGGTAAAAAATTAATAGAAGTAAAATAAAAATAAAATTAATAAAATATAAATCACGACGTTTCGGAGGCAACACAAGCCTCCGTCTTCAGGTGGAACCGTGACAGCACGCTCGCTGTATCAAGTAAATGTTGACAATACAAGCACAGGGGGTGGGTGGGTTGGGGGGGGCACATGGGGCTCACCGGGGATCTGGAAGGGGCTGCCGGGGCCCGAGCTGGCAGGCGACTGTGGGTAGCTGGACGTGCTGCTAGGCGAGTGCACAAACGGGTTGCTGTTGGGCTGCTGGAACGACTCGGGGAAGTGGCCCGGCCCGCCGTGCATTCCCGCGGGCTCACTGAAGCTCGTGGTGAGGCTGCGGAACTGCGGGATCATGCTGAGCTGGGGGTTGAACTCGCTGTGGCGCGGCACGAGCACGGGCGGCAGCACTGCAAGAAACGAGGGAGGCGCGTGGTTAAGTTTCGCGCCAAGGAGGCCGATTGGCTCAATGGGCTCTCTCGCACGGTTAGGTTACAGCGACTGCTGTAGGTGACGCGATGCTCCACGAGTTCACGTGGATTATGCTCGTGAAACATGAAATAAAATGGAACAAACAGCACATTGTTTTGATTTATTACGCGCGAATATTTCCTTTGGGATAGCGATTGGAATGAACACGAGAACGAACGAGTCCGTAAAAAACAAGGCCCAGTATATACACGAGGTGTTATATATGCAAGACAGGGTGAATCGAGACACGCGAAACCCGTTGCGCTAAAGTCACGAATCAAAGTGGCTTCCACAGTTCTAACAGTCGTGGGGTGACATTTGTGTCCCAAGTCGCACCCGTGAATCAGTGGTGGAAAATCCCCATTATGGTTGGGGCAAGTATTAACAAAGACCAGCACTGCCAACCTCCCAGTGTGCTCACTCGTGTTATTGTGCAGAGGGGACATTGGATGAGTCGACCCCCCCCCCCCACCACTCCCAACTGAACTGGATTTCATAATCAACGTTTTTATTTGAGTACTCAAAAACTGTAAATGTTGTGGTTTCACGCTTCAACACACTGGTGGGCTAAAGCAGTGAACTATTTGTCTTTTGTCAACGTGACACTTTTTTGCTGATTGGCCGTGTCGGGTGGTGGAGGGTTACGACACATTTATAAATAACGCAATCTAACCCAAAAACGTTGATTATGAATAATATTGGTCGCGAAAGCCTACGTGTTGAACTGGATTTGAAAGCAGAACTTTCCCGAATCGCAAGCCGTGCACCGTATAATACCGCAGCGCCATCTCGCCAGACGCCAACTTCCATTTCATGACCACCCCAAGGCCAAGGCCTCTCGGCATTAACTGTCTGCATGGGATTCACTCTGAACACTAGGAAACATGAATTGTTCGCAATAAGCAATGCCCTCAATACCATGCTCGTTAAGATGAAACCCAGTGACTACTGACATTTAACAAAGACAGAGTTGCCAGCAGATGGCAGTACAGCAAGAAGGCCGATGGCTAACATTCTCCATGCTTGGTTGTTTTCTCCAGCAACTCCCCATTTCCTCGTGTGCCAAAAACAACTTTTCGTAACTGGCGGTTCGGTGGAGTGGATGAACCATCACAATTGTGTCACAATCGGATTAACAAATTTTTTGTATTTTCATCTCATTTGTACTGTGCCTCTTTTGTGCATAAATAGTCGCTCCAAGCCTGGGGCGTGCCATTCAGACTGTCTCTCGACAGACCTGTTCTCCACCTGAAGACGGCTGCTTGCGTTGTGGCCGAAACGTCGTGAGAATTATTTTATTATGTTTTATTTTTATTATTTTATTATTTTCCTTCTACGTGACTTTACCGAAAGAACCAAGAAGATGTGCCGTCTCATTCACTGCAGTAGTCAAAAGGTAATGTTTTAATTTGTTAATATCATTTTCCCAAGTTATAAACACTGGATTCTTGCGTGAACAATTCAAACGCATGTATCTTGAACACGAGGATTTGTTTAACGCCGTGAAATGCTCAATTCCCGGTAGTTACTGTGAGACGACAAAAAATTCGAGATGGCACAAAGTCCCATCATTTTATGCGGACATTGCACAAATTGGCCCCTTTACACTGGTTTCACTTTGAATGAAACCTCATCAGCACAGCGTGTGGCAGTGGATTATTTACCGCACTCCCCTAAAGTTGAAGGTCCCAGTGCACCCAAAGCGCTGCGAGAGAAAACGAGGACACCCCCCCCCCCCCCTTCAGACCAATCAAAAAAACAAAACGCCGCTCAAGACTGCACGCAAATTGTACAACACGAGCGGATTTTTAAATCCTTTATATTAAGTTCGCTTGCTTGCTTAGGACCGTGCAAATCTTTCGGTCGTTTTTTAACCCACTTCCCCGTGATCCAATCGAGCTGACATTTTCCACACAGACTCGTTGTGCGTAACAATTAATGTTCGTGAAAAAAAAATTCAAAAATTTTACACTTTTTAGGGCAAAAATATTATATTTTGATTTAAAGCTTTCGTGACTGCCGGGATTCATCTTCTTGGTTCTTTCGGTAAGAAGACAAAAATATTAGATTTATTACCAATTGCTTAATGGTGCCATGCAATCATCTGACCCATAGGTGGCAGCCATCTCAAGCCAGAGGACGAGAGGACTCTAGCCGCCACGCATATAAAGGATTTATAGTGAAAAACAGTTTTTACGGGTTATACTTATTATTCCACCGCCAAGTATTTCAACAACCGGGGGGGTGTGCGCAGCTGAAAGCACACAAACAAGTAGGGAGGGTGTCTACTCTTAATGGCTGCACTCGAATAGATATTCAGAATTTCAAATACCGTTGTGTAAAAACAGTGCCGAGTCAAATTCTCCACATGCCAATATTACGAACGGGAGCACGATTTTTTTTTAATGGCATTTAGTCCGTGACCAAATTACCGAGAATGCTCGCAATCTGGTCAGACCTCGGACGCCGTGATTAAATCACCGAGCGCTCGAGTGGGCGATCACCACGGACAAAGCAAGTGCATGGCTACATTGTGGCCAGCAATGAGCAGTGCAGCAAAACCTATTGTTGTACTGCACTACGCTAACCTCCATTCTCTAACCCGCACTGACCAGTGTGGTGAAATATGGTGAAATGACCCCCACGACCCGCATGCATTGGGAGAGGCTCTCATCAGGCACCTCCGATTAGCACAGTTGGCGACGTCGGGTGTGAAGTAAGTTCAACATACACACCGATAAATACACACAGACATACAAAGAGGGTGGACATGTGAAGTATTACAAGTGAGTTTTTCAGTACCATGCAAGCTACAGTTTTGACATTTCCATTTGGGGGAATGTAAATATAAAAAAACAAATGCAATTAATGAATCACCTTTATAGTTTTTTTTTCGATTTAAAGCTTTCGTGACTGCAGGGATTCATCTTATTGGTTCTTTCGGTAAAGTCACGTAGAAGGGAAGTAATAAAATAATAAAAATAAAACATAATAAAATAATTCTCACGACGTTTCGGCCACAACGCAAGCAGTCGTCCTCAGGTGAAAACCAAGTGTGTCGAGGCGACAGCGTTAATTCATAACAATTGAAACACACAGCAAAATAAAGTAACTAAAACGTCCAAAACATACAAGCTGGAGACACGCAGCGGTATTCTTTGAACATTTACGGAGAAAATGCAGCAGTGCACTGTGCGCGCGGTTAGTCACTGGGTTTCATCTTAACGAGCTATTTGTACGGAACTGGGCAAGGAAGCAGCCGTAATGTGTACATCATCCAGCAGACATGAGAGGTCTTTCACTGTCGGGCCAATTGTGTCAATGGTTGGACATGAAGCCCGAGACCCGAGCGATTCACGGAGAGACACGGACAATTCACAAAGAGCTGTGGCAGGAATTAGGGGTGGCTCTTAAAAGGGGCTTCCGCGCCAAGGATTCTTAACGTCAAACAGACAGGGGACCACATATCAAACGGTGAGCTCTGTTATAGATCAGAGCGGACACCACTTTGTGTAATAACGCACAAACAGACAGAGGGAGACACTTTGTTGTTGGAGATAGTCGTGTTTTTTTTGTAGAAGGGGACGATCAAGGTCGAGCGAGACTACACGGCAGAGGAAGAGCCCTGGGTGTGGGCGAACGGTCACAGAAAGAACTCTGAGCTGTGCTGGCTGGGATAAGATCAGGTTCATCTCCGCAAGTGGCCTTGACAAGGGAGCTTTTTGAATTGCAGCGACTGGTGGAAATTGATAATGAGCTCAAACTTGGCACGAGGCATCTGAAGCGAGTAGCTTGCTAGGAAAATAAAGGGCAGTAGGCAATGTAAAAACAATATGGACCGTAAAACCACGCAGAAATGCACAGAGCAAAGACAAAAATGCGAACGAATTTAACTTAGCCTCGTCTTGACACTGGAATGACAACGTTCAATTTGTTTCGTAATTATTTTCAACTGTGTTAAATGACCCAAAGTCGGTAAAATTTCTGGCTACACGTGTCGATACGTACAAGTTAAGAGAGCCGGCAATCTGCTGCAGCAACACAACAACCCGACGTGCATGCCTGGCACAAAGGTCGCACGAAACCATACATCACACAGATTAACAGTTGCTGTTTAAACAAGCCGGTCTAACGGGCTCGATGTATGCAGACAGTATTTTGAATTACCTGGACTCATTCAAACAGCAGAAACGCGTGAACTGTGCAAACTAAAACACTTCACACATTTTGGCACGTGCAAAAAAAGGCACCAAAAATATCAACATCCATTGATAGCGCTAAACGTAAATTGCGAGGCATGTGTTTAATATCAGGTGAGCGTGTTGAGGATATTTCTCGGAGCGGTTATGGATGCAAGTTCAAATTCCTTCGCACCATATATGTCGCCAACCATGCTAATTCGAGGTACGGGGGAGGGGGAAAGACACCAATCTAAACACAAAACGCAGCATAAAACGTCACCAACCTGCAGCCAAACTGCACCTTCTTTTTTAAATCGCAGCGCCTGGTGCACTGTACCACAGAGGGGCCCCCTTCACCGGCAAGACGCTTAACAGGAGGAAATGAAATTAAATTTCAAAAAGGCCAAGTTGGGAAACTCATTCATATTTTATGCAGCAGCAATTACCCGGCAGTGAAAGGATTAAAGGGGGATAACGCCAATTCGTTTTGTTGGATGTTTGCGTGAGACAAAAGGGGAGAGACGGGGGGGGGGGGGTGGACAGGGGACTGCGTTGCCACGGGGGTCATTATTTATACATGAGGGTATAGTGTAGCGGCCCATAAGCAGGAAGTCATTTGGGAGAGAGGCTTCTTTCTCAGAGTGACCTCACGGATTTTCTGGCTACGATCCCAGTATCAACTCCCCGCTCATTTAGTAAATTATGCAAGGCCTTTTGCACAGATATGGAAGCGGCCAACCGTATAAGATTGCACTTATGCGCTTGCTTCTTTTTTTACCCTATTTGGCCACGTGCTGAACTGTTCGGGCTATAGGCACCGCTGTTTTGAATGACAAACGCAAATAACGAAGTCTAGCCGGTGTCAATTATAGCCACGTCTATTATGACTTACGGAAATATGAATTCAGAAAATTGTTTACGACTTCTGTTGTTAAAACTCGGGCGTCGCTTGGAAGCGATAACACTGGTCAACACACTTTTTCTGGCATAAGGTATTCCAACGGTTTTAAGGTAATTTTGGGGTGCTGATTCTATCACATCAGGTTTTTGAGATATCAAATATTGCATTTTCAATAAAAACTGCAGAAGAAAAATATTAAATAAATGTGGATATCTACATAAAATTATATTATAAAACACACTATCCTAAAAATACAGCACCATATTTTAACACTAAAGCAGTCACTGACTCGCAACAACTTGCAATCATAAGTGACAAGAGTTAATTTCGGGTAAAATCAATGAAAATCGGGTATGCCGATAGCATAAAAATGAGATGTGATAGAGCAAATCTGAGATCAGATTTGGAATCAGTACCCCGAAATTAGTCTAAAACAGCTGCAAAAGTCCAGGCCAGAAAAATATTCTAGATTTGAAGCTTTCGTGACTGCAAAGATATATATTCTTAGGTTTTTTTTTTCCGGTTAAGTCACGTAAGTAAAACATCAAAATAAAAATAAAATAAAAATAAAAAAATAAAAATAATAAAAAATAAAAAAATAACGTCGTGATTTTTATTTTTATTTTATTTTTATTTTGATGTTTTACTTACGTGACTTAACCGAAAAAAAAAAACCTAAGAACCAGAAAAAAATGTTTTTTTTTGTTGACCAGTGTAATTGATCTCAATGGGGGCATAGCGGCGTGCACCTGTAAATGAGCATTTTAGAAATGTAAGGTGCCCCCCAGGAGATGCAAATAGTGGTTGGCAATACAGAAACCGAGTTGACGATTCAATCTCTGTGGTCCTTTAGAGTGTTATCCCCTGGCATACATGGGTTTTTCTCCGTGTGCTCGTGTACCCTCCAACATACAAAACACTGCCTTCAAAAAAAGGGAATTGGCCAATCATTCCAACGCATGCCTCTTAAAAAGAAAGTGCCAACATCCAAGTTAGGCTATTGTGGATAAATTACATTACATTTTTTCGCTGTCGGTACAATATCAGTAATTCAGTATTGTAGCAGTAATTTTTGTAGTAGATTCACATGCGTGTACAAAAGCCACTGCTATTATTCACACGGTTTATTGCAAAAAGGAATTCATCATTAAAATGCTGCACTGGCGATGACATCAGAAAGCGAGCGACACCCGCTATCAGCAAACTACGTCCGCCTCGGCTGACGCGATCGCAACTCCATTGCTCCCCACCCACGTGCTCCCCACAGCCATTCTCTCCTCTTCATCCCCCCCCCACCGCTCACTCCTCCACAATCCAGTGGGGCCAAAACCAGACAAAACACGGCACTCGGTGACACACAAGAGGCAGCCCCACACCTGCGGCACCCCAGGTCATGAACGCGGGGGGGGGGGGGGGTTGGGGGGGGGGCTCCAGCCAAGTGCCCGTGAGCTAATGAGGTGGGGTGAGCTAACAATTCCGTGAGGGCGGCAAGCGTTAAGCGTCAGCAACTCGAGTGGAAACAGCGCATCACAGCGTTCGTGGATTGGCAAGCTGGGCAGGCCGGGTGTGAGGTGGCCAGGGTAGGGCCGAGGTGATCACCCCCGAGATCCTGTGGTTTTAATCCAGGAAACTGGCGATAATTAAACTGGGATCTTAGGCGAAATTTTTGATGGCTTCAGCTTAGTCACCGTAGATTGCACGTATAAAAAAATGTGTCAACTTTGATTTTCGTTCTGCACTTAACCCCTTCCCATTACGTACGTGTACGTCATCAGTTTTTCTTCAGATTTGGAAGTGGCCATGTGGGAGGGCGTGTGGCACAGGTTGGCACCAGCTATCAGAGTGCAGTCATGTTCGCTACAGTTCTCTGCAGAGTACAATTTGGTTAAAAACAGCGGCGCGATGCCTACAAAAATAAAATTAACGCCAACCGCTTGCGCGTTCCGAGATTCGGTAATGAACTTGCAGACATCTCGGAACGGGAAAGAGTTAATGCGAATAGATTTCACTTCTGAAAATTAGACATTTTGGTCAATCTGTAATGCAATGAACATTTCTATCGGTGTCAAGAGTGGGTGGGGAAAGTGCTGCCCTCTCCTGTGTGGAGGAGAGGTCACTTGAAGGGATCTCAAAAAGCCAGCTTTTACGATATCCAATTCCACGAGCCATTCTCTAACACGAGGGGGGGGTTGCACCGAGAGCTCCGGGAGATCTCAGAGGACACTACGTCTCATGACGATGCCAATAGCACCAGCGGGATAAAATGAGGGGAGCTGGTAATCCAGACAGCAAAAGAACCCAAGGGAACAAGGAACAAGTCTGTCAGTGAGTTGGTAAGGCAGTGAGCAAATAAGCCGATTGATTATTAAACTGGTGACTCCATGTAACATTAAGTAAATTAAGAAATCCCTGTGATAATAATCCATTGAAATACTCCGCTATTCTGCCGGTTATTAGGTTGGGTAGGAGATCTAAATAGCATATTAATTTTTTAAGTGCGAGTGAGGCGAGCGAGAAAACAAATAAGCGCTTGAGCACATTATGCTCTAAATTTTCCTATGCTACCTCCTTCGTCTGGAACTCACTTGTACCTACTATCTGTGCCTTCGACTCCCTGCCACTGTTTGAGTCCAGGGCACAAGAACTTTTACTCTACTCAATAAATATTTCTACCATTTCTGTATACAGCATCTTGAGACGGCAGTTGTACTTCATCGCAATATAAACGTGGTATTGGTATCACGCCAGCGAACAAGTCGCTGACAGCACGTAATGTTACGACACAAAGAGCGGGCTGGGCGAACGGGCAGGCCAACCTAGTGGTCCAGGAAGCCACCCATCACCGGAGGCTCACACAGCCCAGGTGGGCAAGCCAGGACAGGTTAGGGCAGTGCATCGTCCCGTGTCCGCACTGCTTGCGAGACACAAACAGACGGACCCTCCACCCCCCTCCACCCACAGCCCCGCCGGGAAAACCCGTGGCGCCACCCGTTTGGCTACTGGCCAGCAGCCAAGGCGATGAAACACCGAGCTCCTCCTGGCCCAAGGGGGAAGTCGCGGCCGATTTTACCTGCCGCTCTGCTCCCCCCCCATCCCCCCTCTCATAATGCCCACTCCGCTCGGCGGAGCTCAATTCTCTCCGCCGTGGGCTTTGAAATTCATAGCTTTTCCCTCCGTTGCTTAAAAATATAATCCTTATAACAAGAGGCGGCTGAGTGACTCAGGGGGCCGAGGATACGTCGGTGTCGAAGCAAGAAGTGATGAGGCAGCACCGCTGAGAAATGCCGGGGTTCATACCGCAGGCTCCCACCTGAGATTACGCGAGGCTCTCTTGCGGAGCTGATGGGCTCTGACTAGTCATTGATGACTCAAAGAATTGTGTTTTTCTTGGCCCAGACTCGCTCGGAGCTAAACGTGTAAAATGGACGACGTTAGAGGCAGTATAAACGCTCGATCGAGATTATTACTTTGTTTGACGCAGGTATATTTTAAAATTAACTTCCATGGAATGAAACTACCTATACCCCAATTGTATTATCTATAATATGAATAGTTAAATTTTTTGGATAAATCAAGAATTGCAGTCGCAATGTTTTTTTTTTATGTTCAAGCCAATCCTTTCAAGCGTTTCAGATTTAGACGACAGTTTCTCATAAAGCCTCAAATTCATGTTGGACAGCCCTACAAAATAAACAACAAATCGTTTTTTGCGTTGGGTTTCTACTCAAACAATGTGTTGTTGGACAAGCGCAAGCCTAGGAGGGACACACAAAGATCTCAACTAAACGCCTCATCCGACGTACCGTCGATGCAACGAAGCATCACCGCCGTGCCTTCACGAGCATAACAACAAGTCCGCGGGGACACCAACGCCGGCGATGGGGGGGTGGGGGAGCCGGGTGCCGATGGGGGAAACTCACCCGGGCTCTCGACGCGCTTGTAATGGTACGGGTTGATGCACACCTCCTTTTGCTTGGAACCGAAAGGAAACTCGCAGCACTCGAGAGGCTTGAGCTCGTGGTGGCTCTGCAGGTCGGGCCAGCGCCACACGCGGCAGTAGATGACGTGTGGGAGGCCCTTCCGGTGGGACACCTAAAATAAATAGGCAAGGGTTCGGGTGGACAGCACGTTAGAACGGGGTCTTCTTCTCTCCGTCAACATGAGCATTGGGGGTCCATTAGACCAGACCCTCCTCTCAATCGACTGCTCAATTAGAGCTTTCCCCGCAAACCGTGCAAACTAAAGCTACTTTTTTTGCACGCTTTTATTTAACTCACTCTGTCTGTTGTTGTCGTCGTTGTCGTATCCTCAAATCTTGTAACTCAATTTTAACCCACTTCCCAATGTGGTATCGACTGCAAACTTGGTATACTTATGTCATACTGATGACAATACTATAGTCTATAAAAAAAAGTATTTCTAAACATTCGTTTTTACATGTTATGTTTTGGCTTGGGTCTAATTGTCCACACTCAACTGACGTTGGCTGTAAATCACCACGATCCCTTACGTTATGGCAAGCCTCGGGGCCACTTCCTGGAGTCGTCGAGTTCTGCCATTACTCGTACGGTACATTTCATTAAAGCGTATTTTTAAAAAAGTATTTTTTTTATATTATTATTCTACTAGGTAAAGGCCCACTGAGCTATTTTGCTGTTATTCAGCAGTGTCCTGGCCACAAATGATAAATCAACGCAGAGGCTTGTCGCGTGGAAATCTATCGCGGCCAAATATTGTAAGCGCATGTTTCTAAATGTGGAGGGAAAAACCAGAGGACCCGGAAAAAAATCCACGCGGCCACAGGGAGAACGTGCAAAGTCCAAATATGCAGGTGTCAGGGTCGGGATCGAACCCGAGACCTCTTATATATCAGGCGAGGTAGTTTACTTCCCGCCACCATGGCACCCTGTGTGGTCGTGGGGGTTATTTCACAAATACCGCTCCACTCTGGTCAGAGACTAAGAGATGGGAGAAAGCAGAACAGGATGTAGTGTATATACCTCTAGGTATAGGTATACACCATAACTTGAAAGAGGTCTACAGCAAGACTTTACAGACCTAACACTGTATTGGCTCATGCGTGACTCCACAGTTCTCGATAGTTTAAATATAAAATTAGAGAATGACTATGAATAGATCCCAAAGCACAGTTTGCTGCGGGTAACGAACAAGATACAGGTTAGAACATCACCTTAGTGCAATCACTTAGGAAAGTCATTAGTACGTTTCTCTCTGTCAGACTTGCTCAGCTGCCAGTACGTGGTTCTGAGGACAGATTTATTAGAACCGTATTTCGCCAATAACATCTGGTCACCCAGCAGCATTTGTTTAACAAGCCAATATCTGCTGATAGGGACCCAGAAGGTGAAAGCCAGTCCAGAGTTTGCTTGCTTAAATTGTCAAGGATAATATTGGTCTGGGAAGCCAATCGGCCACTGGACCAATACACATTCTATTTATATGTAGAGATGCAGAAAGGAGTTCTGCTTATAATTGCGTGCACTCTGAAACAACAAAGATACAAAGATCCCCCGTACAGCCTTAACAGACTGTAGAAGCAAGTGCTATTAAGCGAGCACCTATGAAGGCCGGCATGGCACGATTAGGGGGTGAGTGGCCAGCACCACGCCCGACCGCCTTCGTCTCCCTAGCGGTGACATTTACACACCGCACCAGGTACTCATTTGAGGCCGAGTCGACTCTGAAACCCACACACATGTCCACACATTGCACACACATGTCCACACATTGCACACACGGCTGCCTAGCGAGTGCCGGTCACCTGCAGGCGCCCGTCGAGGGAGCGCGGGATTGTGACGCATTTGCTGGGTTGCCCCGGGGTGCTCAACGCTTTCTCCAGCTCTTCCAGGGCGCCCTTCTTCTTCTTGAGCTTCTTGACGAGCGAATCGACCGCCTTCTCGGCCCACTTCTCCTCCTCGTCGCCCTGCTTCCAGCCGAGCAGCCGCTTCACGGCCGGGCTCGTGAACGAGAAGAGGCTGGCTACCGACATGGTTGTCATCGAAGAATAGATCGTCCCCTCGCTCGCTCGTCGGTGCGCTCGCTCGGTCGCTCACCGCTCGTCCCACCCGCGTGCGTTTACTCCCATGCACAGAAGACGCGAACCTGACTCCGACCCCTCGCCGGTCTCCGCTAACGGTTCTCCCGATCCGTTGAGCGTCTCCGACCGGAGCCTCCGTTCGCGAGCGACGGGTGGCGGCGGATGGCAGCGCCTCGTGCGCAAAAACCCGCCCGCTGTCTCATCCACAAGTGGCCCGGGCTCGAAGGCCAGCCCTGCTGGCGTTACGCTCGTCCCTGGTTGAACGCCGCCAGACAGCGCCGTCTCGTGTCGGCGGAGTTCAAGTCCGAAGTCGCTGGAAGGTTTCCAGCGGCGTTGCGTTCTTGGCACTGCGAAGCAGAAAAAAAACGGGGAGAAGAGAGTGGAGGAAAAGAGGCTCAGTTCCAGAAGTCCATTTTCACCACCCCCACCACAACCACCCTCCCTCCACTGCTGTAATCCAACCCAGTTGCACCTGTTGCGGTAGTAAAATAAATATATTTTTTGGAAAAAAATGCAAATGTTGGTCCAAATCGTATTAGCGTGCATTATGAAACGTAAATATTTTAAAACGTGCGACAGCTCAAGTCGATAAACAAATTACCCACACCAACAACTACTTTAATGTGCTTTCAGTTCGGCACGGACAACGTGGAGAGTGCACTTAGCATGCGCGGCGTTAATTACAATCAGTCGCATCTCGGGGGCTTACTTTACAGCCCGCCACGGTGGCAATGACAGAAAAAAATAGTTTAAAATACAAAACACGTGAGCACAGAAAAAAAAAACCCGACAGCGGCATTGGTCGCTTTGCGGCAGGAAGTGGGTGCCCGCAACGTCCTAATGCTTCCTTCCTCACCACCGCTTCCTCCCCAGCCGGTGTTTGCGTCGAGGTTCAGCCGGACGGTGCGTGGGGTTGGCAGGTTCAAGAAGGGAGCCGAAGTCTCAATTCCCGCCTATCTGGAGGGCGCAACGCACATCACGCACCACACATCACACACCGGGAACAGGGGTCAGTGGAAGAACATCATTCGGGCGTGAACCTGTAAGCAAGCGAAGAACAATGGGGAGTGTAGTCGGGCGAGCGCATATTAACGATGGCGAGGAGCAAGAGAGTGCCGGTGTGGCAAGCGCAACATGCTCAAGATGCTGTCCTTTTTTTAAATATATACAAAGGGACGTATAGAGCTACGCCGGTTCTATTTTAGAGAACTTTACTTTATTTATGAACTTCAAGATGTCTCCCGTGTACAGAGGTTTATTTACAGCTATTTTCCAATATGGGACCTTAGCAAAAACGAAAGCGGACAAACGCCTGCACTTAAGTCGATGACACCCGACCCTCACCGTTACCCAGCCGACTTTCACAGCTATAAGCACACTTCAGCGGGCAGTAACGCGAGATAGAATTTAAACGCCAAAAGCGGGATTTGGACCGTCGCACCCAAACCACACACACCCTGCCTCAGAGGGGAAAAGCAATAAGCGCAAGGAAAGCCAGCAAATAGTACCGATGGTTTAATAACAGAGGGCAAATGGGAGAGAGATGCCACAATTATTACGCGCTGTTTACACAGGTTGCGCAGCAGTACGCTTGCTCCGAACTGACCATGTCATCGAGCGAGTGATCAGCGGTGGTGCGTCAAGGTGATATTTGCCCGATGAGCCAACACTGTAACCAAGATGGGTGTTCTCAGCACCTCCAATCAAGCGGAGATGTGTAACGCAGCAAAAAAACAAACACCGGCCGCACACATTCCGCCCTCTGGCTGTTACCACCAACGTCGTTAACTAGCACTCGGCCCATGGGCTCAAAACCCACGCAAATGCACGCATAGTAGGCCCGACTGAGACAAACGGAAATTACACATTCGACATTAGTCACCGAGCAGCGCGTGTATGCACCTGTTGTTCCAAGGCTGGGGAAGGCGACTGAGGAGGGAGAAAGTGCATTTTTTGGGACGGGCGCATATGAGGTTGGTGTGTGAGGGGGAGGGAAGAGAGGGAGGAGGGGTAGTGTTGGTTTCGAGTGTGCGCGGCCAGAAAAATTCCAAAGCCCAGCTCTTCCTATCAGCCATATCCTGCTGACCAGATGTCTTCCTGCTTTTAAAACTGCTGCCTCCACCCGACCTCCCCCCCCCCCACCACCATCGCGCGCACTGCAACGGTTGAACTTACTGCATCAGAGGCCTACAGCCCTAACATTAACAGACCAGCAGAGACAAATGGGTAGCAGCGGTAGATAAAGCTCGTGTTTTACGAGGGGGAAACACATTCGAAGCCAGCATGACTGAATAAAGTGTCATGATACGGGGGTTGCGATTAGATTTTTTTTAAGTCTTATATTTACTTGTTTTAATGCTGTATTCTACATTATAGGAGCCTAAATATTAAACGAGAGAATAATTATTTATTTATACAAATTCAAATAATGAGCGACAAACAAGACACTGATTCACACACACTCAATTCGCCAAGTGTACTGTCAATGTCAGAAGTAATTTTACTTTATGTATTGTTAAGCCCCAAAACACCCACAATGCATTTCTAAATATACAGTAGTAACTTCAAAAATCAAGCGTACACGATTCTTTATAGCAGAGATTGGGATTTTGAATAAGGATGATATCATTAAGACTGGCAAGGCACAAAAGGTGGTGCGTGGACATAATTAATATCTCCGAGGGTGAAGCGAACAACAGTTTGGAACAAATGATTGTTGAAGGCAGAGTTAACCTAGCATGGTGGCCAATCCAGGTTAAGATCGTGACGCAACTTATAACACCATTTTTGTTCCACCACTCTCCCCTATCTCAAAGATGAAGATTCCCCACGTGGCCTTTAAGAGTCTGTTGGGGGGCAAGGGCTGTTAGAGGGCACAAGAGAGGTCCCTGTGTAGCCATCACCCAGGCCAGTCGCTTTTGCCTCTTCGGTGAGAATATTCACACAGACTGAACTATTTGGGCTCGAGTCACCCGCGGGGAGGTCCAGGACAAATCACGATAGCACTTGTCACAGAGATGTTACCTATAACCAGGAATAGAACGCAGGCGCCAGGATCGAGAGCACAATGCACAAAATTCCGCATCACCACCCCAAACAAAAACAAAGATCCACAAAACCCGATTACCCTCACACAGTTTTGGGCAAACTGCCAGTTAAGCAAGTACCTATTAGGTGAGCATGGCATGCGAAGGGGTGGTGTGAACAAAGTGAGTGGCACCACACGAGGCTGCCTTTTGTAAAAAAATATACATTTATAAACTGCGCCAGGTACTCATTTTCGGCCAAGCCGACCTCGGTTGGGGAGGCCCAAAAACATGTTCAGATGCCACTTGTCACGAATCTAATGTACATTTCACCAGGATCGTAGTGCAGTGCTAACAAACACACCACTGCTCCCCTACCCCCACACTAACAACCGTGATCAAAGACAAATATCCACCCCCCCAATGTGGCCTCTTATCATCTTTGGGGAAAGTGGTATAAACAGAGCATCTATGAAGGCTGGGACATCGAATGTGGGGATGGTGTGGACGGCACCGCGGTTGGTCACCTTCGTTACCCCCAGCGCTGTTACAAACACACCACACGGGGTTCTCTTATCATGTCGAGTCAACCTAGGGGAGGCCCAGAACAGTTTCAGATAACACTAGCCAGCGATGCCAGCTGTGGCAGGGAATCAAACCCAGGTGTGGCTGGGTACGTAGTGCAGTGCGCCAACCACTGCAACACGCCACCGCTCTCCCCACGAGCATCATCATCAGACACGCATGCACAAACACAACACGCGCGCGCACACACACACGCGACGGCAGTTTTCCATCCCTGTCTCCCCTTCCCCTCCCAGCGCAAGTTTGGCAGCCTTGACACGCGCGTGCTACAGGAAAACGGCGCTTTTCATAGACTCGGGGCGTGGGGGGGGGAGCACGTGGGGGGGGAGGGCGCGCGGCCGTGCGCTCTGCCGCCACACCTCTGCACGCGCGGCCATTGCATTGTCCCCCTGCAATGCCGTGCTCAATTTAGCACTGAATTTAGCCCGCCACCCCCGCTTCTCTTCCTCGCTCGCCAGCCTTCGCTCGGCAAACAATAGCCCCCCCCCCCTTCCTTGCAGGCCCACCGGCTGCACAACATATCGAAAACGTGCATAAATATGTTATTACACGCGCGCACGTACGCACGCACACCGGAGGACATATCGCCCCGCCACCCACCCCGCCCAGCCACCCACCTACCCCCACAGCACCTCCGGGCCCCCCCCACCCCATCCCACTTTCAACTTGCTTGCTGACAAGGATGTTTGTGAGCGCATATTTCAAGGGCACGCGATGTGAGAGGCACTGGGGATGAGTTGCCGTACCTGGGCCATTCATCTCTACAAATTGGAGGAAAGCAGACATCGTGAACAAGGGACTTTTTTTTTTAAGGCCGAGGCAAACTAGAAAAACTTTGGGCAAATTTATACCAATTGTTAGGCTAATGTGACCTATGTTTAGATATGAAGTTCCACTGAGGTTTGTGATGTGCACCACTGAACCACCAATCATCCACACTCAACACAAGACACAAATTTATACCAATTGTTAGGATAATGTGACCTATGTTTAGATATGAAGTTGAACCACCCACCACTCATCCACACTCAACACAAGACACAATCTGAAATGTCTTGTGTTCGGAGCAGCAGACAAATTCGCAAGTTTTATCACCCGAGTGTTGGAAATGTGTTATCACCTTAACAAAAAAGCTTTGGCTTTTTGCGCAATGCGGGGGGGTAAGTGCTTTTATCAACAACACAGAACACATACACACAGACGCACGTGCGCGCACACCCAGGCACACAAGATGCACACCCTAAATATTTTATGTAGTTTAACTGCACGATGCTTTCAACACTTGGGCCAATTTTCCACGCTCTACAATGCCCGCGCACAAACATGTGCGTCACACGATTGAACAGAGAGGGGCAAGCTTAAAGTGGCGGGCTCTCTCAAACCCAAACATATCGTTATCGCCGCCACCGCCGCTCAATCGACCAAACGGGATCCCATTTATCTACTCATCACTGGCTAACACCCCAAAACACTGGCCTCCCCCACCCCTCCATACACAAAAAAACCACTTACATAAAACACTGAAGTGGTAAACTTTCCACTTTGTTTTGTTTTCCCAATCACATTACAGTATCATTATTGCACCATAGAACTACTCGGCGGCTAGGAAATATCGCACTACGTTATTTCGTGATTATCATGCAGTCACTATTATTAACTATACTGTAACCACGTAAATTTCGATTTAAAGCTTTCGTGACTGCAGGGATTCATCTTCTTGGTTCTTTCGGTAAAGTCACGTAGAAGGGAAATAATAAAATAATAAAAATAAAACATAATAAAATAATTCTCACGACGTTTCGGCCACAACGCAAGCAGCTGTCCTCAGGTGATGAACAGGGCTGTTATTTTATTATTTCCCTTCTACGTGACTTTACCGAAAGAACCAAGAAGATGCAACCACATATATATGAAACCAATGGATTATATATTTATGCTATGTGAAACGACAAATTATTATGTGTGCTTATGTCATCATCATGATTAACTACACTGATATAGAACTAATTGTATTATATAATTATATTTGGTTACTTGCCGACCCGCCCGTACAGGACATCTGTTGAAAAATATCTCATGCAGATTCCTCCTGTCAAAATAAAAATCCTCATTTTGATAACATGTCTAACGACAATGTTATTATGTAGTCATGATTATTAACTATACTGTGACCACATATATATCACCAACGGAATAATACATTTAGATAATGTTAAATGACAATTATTATTCATGTATATATGTAATAAGTCAACGCCATGAGTGCTGACGTTTCCCTGCAATCTATTTCTCTGGAGATAGGGCTGGAGGTTCACATAGATAATCATGCACATGATACTAATAACATGTACTACTAAAGTGTAGCCAGTATATGGCAGTACAGCAAGTTGCTTAATATTCCACCAATTTGAGTATTCCTTCAAGGTAAAGTGTGTTTCTGGATTATTACGTTTCCTCCAACATGTTGAAATATTGAGCATGTGGCCAAATATCCCAAACTGGACTCAATCTGAAAGTCTTAAACGACTCGGTGAGGCTATCCTGGTGAATCAGCAAGAGGCCCTTTCCCCACGTTGTTGTTGCAATGAGAAAGAAGACTCAATCTCGATTTAAAGCTTTCGTGACTGCAGGGATTCATCTTCTTGGTTCTTTCGGTAAAACCACGTAGAAGGGAAATAATAAAATAATAAAAATAAAACATAAAATAATTCTCACGACGTTTTATATAATAAAATAACAAAAATAAAACATTATAAAATATGTTTAATTTTTATTATTTTATTTTTTCCCTTCTACGTGACTTTACCGAAAGAACCAAGAAGATGAAAGAAGACTCAATCTATTTTCACGTAAAGTGCGAGTTATTTTCAGGCTATCTTCTTGTGAGCACAGCGCACCAATGTTTAACTTGAGAATTTTTTTCCGAGCGGGCAACCTCTGGGCTGGTTTCATCAGCAGTCAAGCCTGTTAAACAAATGTTGCCGCTGTATTGCCAGATGCCATTGGCAATAGCCACCCCACCGAACAAATGTGCTCCATTCAGTGCAAAACCATATAGTTTCTTTAAATCGAAAAAAGCAACTCGCCGAAAAAAAACGTACTCTCTTGCGAACATTCTCCAAAATGACACGATGCCAAAAACGGATTCTCAACTTTCTGCCGAGCAAACAAAACCTGACTGGTTTCTGGGTAGCACAGGGGACTTGAATCAAGTCAGCAGAGGGTCGACCAGGATTCTCCCTCTTACGATGACTGTGAACCAAGTTGAACCGCGCTCTAACGCAGCACGGGAGATGTGCGTGCATGTTGTTCCACAAGTCAAAAATCAAAGAATCGCCAAACTGCGACCGTGATAAAGCCCATACCGTCAAACGCATCACCGACCAGCGGGCCATCCACGCACACCCTGGCAGTATCC